CAATGCCAGGAGGAAGAGGTCCATGACAGCAGTCACAGTGACTGCTGGGGTAAGTACCAGACTGCAGTGGCAGCTGGGGCATCAGCACCTTCCCCGTCCCCATGGCTACTATCCCCCTTCCTGTCATGCCCACCCCCAGTGCTGACCATCACCGACCCCACCTCATTGCTTCTGTATTCATCATCATCGTCATCATCACCTGCTTACGTTGGGCACCTACACATACCCGCTCCCACAACAGACTTCTTCCTTGTCCCTGGGGAATCCACGTTCTCTCCTTCCTATTTCCTTTAGAGCAGGGGTTCTCAACCCCCTACGGAACAGTACCAGTTCATGGCCTGTTAGGAACTGGACCACATGGCAGGAGATGAGCAGTGGGTGAGCAAGCGAAGCTTCATCTATATTCACAGCCGCTCCCCATCACTTGCATTACCTCCTGAGCTCTGCCTCCTGTCAGATCAGCAGCGGGTTAGATTCTCATAGGAGCAGAAAACCTATTGTGAACTGCACATGTAAGGGATCCCGGTTGCATGCTCCTCATGAGGATCTAATGACTGATGATCTGTCACTGTCTCCCATTACCCACTGATGGGACCCATCTAGTTGCAGCAAAACAAGCTCAGGTCTCCCACTGATTCTACATTATGATGAGTTGTATAATAATTTCATCCTATATTACAATGTAATAATAATAATAGAAATAAAGCACACAACTGGGGGAGCTGTGGAGTGTAAATTACATCACAGTTTATCTCACTCAGAGACAAGGAGGCTGGGCTCTCATAGCTGCCACCCCTATCAGTCACTCCTTCCTGTAAGTCATACCCTATTGAGAGGGAAGGCAGCTCAGGGTGGGTGAGGCATCTCCCGTCAGGCCATGGCAGTGCTCCATACTCACAGCGCCTGGATGCATCACCCTAATAAAGTGCATCTGCTGCTGTCACCAGTTTAAAAAAAGTATTAAACAGCATATGCAGGCCCTTCCTGTCCAGCCAGTGGCTGATTTCATCCTCTGCAGTGGACACTCCCAGGACCCAAGTCTAATGAATCAGTGAATTAGAAGTCACTGTGTCTCCTACAGGGCTGCCCACCCCTGCCACCTTTTCCCACAGGACTGCACTGCACAGTCTTCAATGGGTGTCCAGCATCCAGCCTCCCATCTACAAAGATCATGGAAGCTGCAACACAGAACATTAATGGAAATACAAGCTTGTTCATTAGTGTTTTATTCTAGCACCACACTGCTTCCCATGAAGAAAGATCAGGAAATAAGTATGGTAGAATTTTTTTCTTTTTTACTTTGCAGCACAAAAGATTGTGTTGGTCCTTCCTCAAGAGTTGAAAAATAAAACATGAGGAGGGAAACCACTGCCCCCAAGCCAGTGCTATGACCTGCACGTGATTCTCCGGTAGCTACAGGGGTCATTTCTTTCCTGGCTCCTCCCTTGATTTGGAAAGAGGAGCTCTGGAATCGAAACAGTATCGATTGTTCTTGTTTGCTATGCACTCCCTTTTGAAAATAACTGAACCTAATCCTGTTTGGGCCAGGATACCAGGGGAGTAATCATCTGTTCCTGAGGGTAAAAGGAAATCTGATCGAAAAAACTCTACCAATGTCCTATTTCAGTTTTTCAGAGCAGGTTTTCCGGTTTTAATAACTTAAAGCCCTCATTACGGTAAAGGTTTCTCTGCCTCCTGTGGCTCAGGCAGCGAACAGGGAGGGCTGCCCTGCCTTCCTCTGTTGATTTCTGAAGAGACCTCTCGCTTCCCAATTGTCCAGGCAGCATTGTCGGCTGAGGTGCGGTTTGTCCTCAGGTATGAAGACCCTCCACAGCTTTGTATTTTTCCTTAACGGAAATTCCCATATGCTTTTTCTTTATACAGCACAACATCCCACAGGGATGCAAAGGCTGGATGGGAGAGTGCGGCTGGGTGGGGCAGCGAGCCGGCAAAGCCTCCCCAGGCATCTCTGCTGACCTGCGGTGGTTTAATAAGTGTTCAGAATTTTCCCTGGCTGATTTTCACTGTCCCTAGCTGGTAAGGCTGCAGTGATAGCCCCATGTTAATTATCAGCTCCATCCTCACCTGTCATATTGCCATTCCTACCCATAGCAGCTCCTAAATCTGGCTGCCGAATAGAGTTGCCTGGCAAGACTTAAAAATCTAACTCCTGAGACCTGCTGAACTGGAAAATCTGTCAGAGGATGAGGTTCAGGAATCTTCATTTTAACAAGCTTCCCAGAAGATTTTAGCACCCAGCCCAATGTGTGTTCTCTGCCTCTAATGGAGTGGTTTCAGCCAGGGATAAAGTCAGTTAGAGACATCTAGTCTGGATCAAGTCAAATGGAAGCTCAGGCCAGAAGGTGCAAAGAGCTTCTCCATACTCTGTGACTTCTCCACGCTTTCCCATCCCCTCTTTCTTTCTTTCTTTTTTTTTTTTTGACAGAGTCTCACTCTGTCACCCAGGCTGGGGCGCAGTGGCACAATCTTGGCTCACTGCAACCTCTGCCTCCTGGGTTCAGGCAATTCTCCTGCCTCAGCCTTCTGAGTAGCTGGGACTACAGGCATCCACCACCATGCCCAGCTAATTTCCCATCCCCACTCTTTATCACAGGTTGACAGAGAGGGTGCAGAATAGTCAGATTACCCTCCATGGTATTCAGCTGTTCTCATTTAACAATCCACATACCCATTCATCCATCCATCCATCCATCCATCCATTCATCCATTCTCTCATTCATTCAAACATCTGTTGAGCTTGGGCTCTAAATATAAGACCCTGTACAATAGGGTCTGTAAAGGGGATACCCTGGATCTTCCTTCTATATGGTAATAAGCCCATCCACAGATCATGCCAGCCCAGTGTTTTCCCTTCTTAAAAAGAGCAAGCAGAGCTCAGCTCAGAGCCCTCACCCAGGCAAGAAAATAATTACATTGATTTTTTTCCATTGTGTTGATTTTTCTAAATATGATAGATAATACTGTGTTTTCATTTATAGTAATGACATAGAATTTTCCTTTAAAATAAGCCTATTAGTGAACACCGCAATGTGATATCACCATATGCTCATTTGAATCACTGAAATTTAAAAGACTAACTACTAAGTGTGGATGAGAATGCAGACCAACTGGAACTGTCATAATGCAGGTGGCAGTATAAAATGGTACAACAACTTTGGAAAACTGGTTGGCACTTTTCTGTAATGTTAAATATACATATACCATACAACCCAGCAATTCGCTTCCAAGAAATTTACCCAAGAAGAATTAAAACATATGTCTACAAAAAGACTTGTATGTAGATGTTCATAGCGACTTGATTCGTAGTATCCAAAAGCTAGAAATAGCTGAGGTGTCCATCAACAAGACGGGAGTACATCCACACTATGGAATACTGCTCCAGAAAAAAGGACCAATCCCTGCTCCATGCAGCAACATGGATGAATCTCAAAAACATCACACCAAGCAGAAGAAATCAGACACAAATTAGTACATATTTCCAATTCCATTTCTATATAAGTGTAGGGAAATTAATCTCTAGTGATATCAAGCAGATGAGTGCTTGCACAAGGCAACTTTTTAGGATGATGGAAACATTCTGTATATTAATATGATGATAGCGCCACAGATGTGCATAAAACTCATCAAACTGTGTCCTTACAAATCGTGAAGATGGTAGTGGGATGCCTGAAATTTAGGAAATGATACTCCAGGACATGATTAGAGTGTACAGTATCCTAAAAGAAGTGCAGATGAAATGCTGTGAAACTTCCAAGGGAGGCATAATTTATTCCAGCGGGAAGATGGGCCAGTGGTGGGAGCTTCACATAATGGATGACATTTCTGGGGAGGCTGTAAGTACAGATGGGGCCAAAATGAATATATAAGTTAAATGAATTGAAATTCACATCAAGAGCTTAAAATAGGTAGAGGAGGGGCAGAGAGGGGTCCAGAAAAAGCCGTGCACCAAAGGGAAATAGGAAGAATGGGGGAGACCCCACCACCTTTCTCTTTGTGACATCCAAAGGCCTTTTTAATCAGTGAAACCTGGACTTATGAGCTTCAGCACCAGCTGGTACAGTTGCTTCTTTTCCCCTGGGTTCCTCTGCTCAGAAAACTTTAGTGGCAGCACAGCTTGTTGGCAGGACCAGGACTAGGTTGTGGCAAGCAAGGCACTGAGGTCACATTGTAGGAGACAAGGTCGCGTAAGAAACCCGAGCCTGCATTTCCAGGCCTCTATCAGAGAGTGCTTCCCAGGCCTCAGCCGAGTCATATATGTGCTTTCTGGTGATCTGGGAACAGGATCCGCAGTGGCTCATTCATTCATTCATGACCATGGCGACTACTTACTCCAGGCCAGGCTCTGGATTAAACACCATATTGGACACCAGTCCTCAGCAAGTCCACATCTAGCAGGGATGGTAAAAATAAATGTGAAAGGGGAAGCCCAGGGGCTATACTGAGAGGAAAGATACTGGGCCCAGACTGGAAGTCAGAAAACTTTTTTTTTTTTTTTTTTTTTGAGACAGAGTTTCGCTCTTGTTACCCAGGCTGGAGCGCAATGGCGCAATCTCGGCTCACCGCAACCTCCGCCTCCTGGGCTCAGGCAATTCTCCTGCCTCAGCCTCCCGAGTAGCTGGGATTACAGGCATGCGCCACCATGCGCAGCTAATTTTTTGTATTTTTAGTAGAGACGGGGTTTCACCATGTTGACCTGGATGGTCTCAATCTCTTGACCTTGTGATCCACCCGTCTCGGCCTCCCAAAGTGCTGGGATTACAGGCGTGAGCCACCGCGCCCGGCCCAGTCAGAAAACTTTTTAAGAGCAAGTGAAACCTCAGCTAAGATTTGAAGAAGGCAAGTTCAAGGGAGGGTATAGGTTAGACCTGCCTGGTCTAGGATTTGGAGCTTGGCCTTAGAAACTGAGAGCCCACTGAGCACTGATTTGCAAAAACTGATGTCTCCTGTCTCCCCACATTCCCTGCCCCATGCCTTTGCAGGTTTGTGACAATGCCAAAGCCCTACAGTGCCCCGCTGTCCCATACAGAGTCCATCCCAGCAACCTCACCGACTGCCAGCTCACCAGCACTCCGAGTTGCAGTAGAGTCCCCCGAGATGGATTTAAATAATTCTGTTAAGTAAGTGCAAATGCAAAACCAACATGGATTTTTTAATAGTTTTCTTTTCTTTACACTGACTTAATTCTCACCACTCATCCCTCACTAGTTCATTCATCCAGTCCCCAGTCCACAGTTTAGTAAGTGTCTTCTATGCGTAGACCCCAAACTAGACCTCTGGGATAGGGAGGGGGTACCGTCATGAGCCCTGGGGGACTGAGCCCTTCCTATAGTATTGTCCTCTCTGTATGTCCAAGGTCTACAGCCAGGATTAGATCCAGGGTAGCAAGCAGGGAAGAATATAACAATTCACCAAACATTATATCCCTGCAATAAAATGCTCCAATAAATAAGGAAACTTAACATTGAGCACAAAGGACACCCAAATTGTCTGAAGAATTGGTAGAGCTTCCTAGGACTTTTTGTAAGCTGGACATGGGCTTGATGGGCCAGGAAAGAAGAGTTGGGACCCGGGCAAAACTGACCAGTTTAGTGGCCTAGATCACATGTTTGGAAGCATAGGACAGCAGACCTCTGATCAGCTGACCTCTTGAGAAAGGTATCCCTTGATTGGGAACCCCCTACTTTTTGAGGTGTGATAGAGGGAGAAGAGGAAGACAGGGCAGTTACACACCTGAGACTGCGGTGATGACAGCCCAATGAGTGAATCTCTGCATTTCATTCACCTCCCCAGGACTCTCCTCGTGAATGAAGATGCCAGTCCTGTGAATGAAGAGCTCAGAAAAACAAAAGTGTCCAGTGTGGTCTCAGACGTACGGTGTCCTTTCCCTGGGGAGGGTTGGCAGGTCGAGGGTCCTTCCCATAAAACAAAGACAGAACCAGAAGCAGAGTGGCCAGTGCAATGCTTGGATTTAGTTGGGACACGGCTGCACAGTTTTACCCACATCTTTTCCCAGCCAAACACCCCAGAGCCAACACTCAGGGAGAACCCAGAACACCTTAGCACATGGAACTTCTCTACAATGGAAAAGCCATTTATCTCTAAACTTTGGTGATCTTGCAATGTTCCTATACCCTAGACGGAGGATGCTAAGGAGAAATATTTGCTTAGTAATTCCACAGCAAAAACAAAAGCAAGAGAGCTTCAAAATTAATACCCTTAAATTCTCCTTCTAGAGTCATAGCTTAATGAAACTATTGGAGATACAAAGATGCATACAAAGATGCTTGTTACAACATTTTAGAAAGAGCAAAAAAGGAAAACTAAATTCCTGCATTACATGATGAGATGCAAACTTTTAAGATAGTGCTGAGTGGGATTTTCCTGTGGTGTGGGTGGGAGTATGAATTGGCATAACCTCTATAACATACGACTTGGCAAGTATATCAAAATTTAAAATGTGTTGTCCCCTTCTAGAAATTATCCTCCAGATACACCTCTTCATTTGCATAAGGCATTTTATTTCCTTGTACACTGCAGCTTTGTTTATAAAAGCAAAAAATGTTGGAAATAACTTAATTCCTCCAATAGGAGACCATCTGAATAAACTAAATTACATCTATGCAAGGCAATCTATGAAATTCTTTTTTAAAATGATAAAGTTCTCTATATATTAATTTGGCACAATCTCTGATGTATTAAGAAAAAATGCTCAGTGCAAAACAAAGTATATTGTGTGCTGCCATTCGTATGAAGAAAAAGTCAATAAAAGCAACCAACACTTACTGAGCACTGCTCTAAGCTCAAAGCTTTCATATATATATATATATATATATTTTTTTTTATTGCACTTAGGTTCTGGGGTATATGTGCAGAACATGCAGAATTGTTGTATAGGTACATACATGGCAATGTGGTTTGCTGCCTCCATCCCCCCGTCATCTGTATCTGGTATTTCTCCCCATGTTATCCCTCCCCAACTCTCTACCCTGCACTGTCCCTCTCCTATACCCCACCAAAAGACCCCAGTGTGTAATGCTCCCCTCCCTGTGTCCATGTGTTCTCATTGTTCAACACCTGCCTATGACTGAGAACATGCAGTGTTTCATTTTCTGTTCTTGTGTCAGTTTGCTGAGAATGATGTTCTCCAGATTCATCCATGTCCCTACAAAGGACACGAACACATCATTTTTTATGGCTGCATAGTTCCATGGTGTATATGTGCCACATTTTCCTTGTCCAGTCTATCATCAGTGGACATTTGGGTTGGTTCCAGGTCTTTGCTATTGTAAACAGTGCCACAGTGAACATATGTGTGCATGTGCCTTTATAATAGAACAATTTATAATCCTATGGATCTATACCCAGTAATGAGATTGCTGGGTCAAATGGAATTTCTATTTTTAGGTCCTTAAGGAATCACCACACTGTCTTCCACAATGGTTGAACTAATTTACACTCCCACCAGCAGTGTAAAAGTGTTCCTATTTCTCCACATCCTCTCCAGCATCTGTTGTCTCCATATTTATTAATGATCACCATTCTAACTGGCGTGAGATGGTATCTCATTCTGGTTTTCATTTGCATTTCTCTAATGACCAATGATCATGAGCATTTTTTTCATACGTTTGTTGGCCTTATAAATGTCTTCTTTTGAAAAGTGTCTGTTCATATCTTTTACTCACTTTTGAGTGGGTTTGTTTGGTTTTTTTCTTGTAAATCTGTTTTAGCTTTTTGTAGATTCTGGATATTAGCCCTTTTTCAGATGGGTAGCTTGCAAAATTTTTTTTCCCATTCTGTTGGTTGCCGGTTCACTCTAATAATTGTTTCTTTTGCGGTACAGAAGCTGTGGGGTTTAATTAGATCCCATTTGTCTATTTTGGCTTTTGTTACCAATGCTTTTGGTGTTTTAGTCATGAAGTCCTCGCCTATACCCATGTCCTCAATGGTTTTGTCTAGGTTTTCTTCTAGGGTTTTTATGGTGGTAGGTCTTATGTTTAAGTCTTTAGTCCATCTGGAGTTAATTTCAATGTAAGGTATTAGGAAGGGGTCCAGTTTCTGTTTTCTGCACATGGCTAGCCAGTTTTCCCAACACCATTTATTAAACAGGAAATCCTTTCTCTGTTGCTTGTTTTTGTCTGGTATGTCAAAGATCAGATGGTTGTAGAGGTATGGCATTGCCTCCAAGGCCTCTGTTCTCTTCCATTGGTCTATATCTCTGTTTTGGTACTGGTACCTTGCTGTTTTGATTACTGTAGCCTTGTAGTATAGTTTGCAGTCCAGTAGCGTGATGCCTCCCACTGTGTTCTTTTTGCTTAGAATTGTCTTGGCTATGCGGGCTCTCTTTTTGTCCCATATGAACTTTAAGGTGGTTGCTTCCAGTTCTGTGAAGAGGGTCATAGGTAGCTTGATGGGGATAGTGCTGCATCTATAAAATACTTTGGGCAGTATGGCCATTTTCACAATATTGATTCTTCCTAACCATGAACATGGAATGTTTTTCCATCTGTTTGTGTTCCATCTATTTCCTTGAGCAGCGGTTTGTAGTTCTCCTTGAAGAGGTCCTTTATATCTTTTGTTAGTTGAATTCCTAGGTATTTTATTCTCTTTATAGCAATTGTGAACGGCAGTTTGTTCTTGATTTGGCTCTCTTTAAGTTATTGGTGTATAGGAATGCTTGTGATTTCTGCACATTGATTTTGTATCCTGAGACTTTGCTGAAGTTGCTTATCAGTTTAAGGAGATTTTGGGCTGAGATGATGGGGTCTTCTAAATATACAATTGTGTCATTTGCAAATAGAGACAATTTGACTTAATCCTTTCCTAATTGAATACCCTTTATTTCTTTTTCTTGACTGATTGCTCTGGCTAGAACTTCCTATACTGAATAGGAGTGGTGAGAGAGGGCATCCTCATCTAGTGCCAGATTTCAAAGGGAATGCTTCCAGGTTTTGCCCATTCAGTATGATATTGGCTGTGGGTTTGTCATAAATAGCTTTTATTATTCTGAGATACATTCCACCAATACCTACTTTATTGAGAGTTTTTAGCATAAAGTGCTGTTGAATTTTGTCAAAGGCCTTCCCGGCATCTATTGAGATAATCATGTGGTTTTTGTCTTTGGTTCTGTTTATGTGGTATATTACATTTATAGACTTGCATATGTTGAACCAGCCTTGCATTCCCAGGATGAAGCCTACTTGATGGTGATGGATAAGTTTTTTGATGTGCTATTGCAATCGGTTTGTCAGTATATTATTGAAGATTTTTGTATCTATGTTCATCATGGATATTGGCCTGAAGTTTTCTTTTCTTATTGAGTCTCTGCCTGGTTTTGGTGTTAGGATAATGTTGGTCTCATAAAATGATTTGGGAAGGATTCCCTCTTTTTGGATCATTTGGAATAGTTTCAAAAGGAGTGGTACCAGCTTCTCTTTGTATGTCTGGTAGAATTCGGCTGTGAACCCATCTGGACCTGGGCTTTTTTTGGTTGGTAGGCTATTAATTGCTGCCTCAACTTCAGTACTTGTTATGGGTCTATTCAGGGTTCTGACTTCTTCCTGGTTTAGGCTTGGGAGGAGGCAAGTGTCCAGGAATTTATCAATTTCTTCCAGGTGTATTGATTTATGAGCATAGAATTGTTTGTAGTTATCTCTGATGGTAGTTTGTATTTCTGTGGAGTCAGTGGTGATATCCCCTTTTTCGTTTTTTATTGCATCTATTTGATTCTTCTCTCTTTAATTTTTTATTAATCTGACTAGTGGTCTGTCTATTTTGTTGATCATTTAAAAAAAAAACCAGCTTCTGGATTTTTTGAAGGGTTTTTTTCTGTCTCTGCCTCCTTCAGTTCTGTTCTGATCTTAGTTATTTCTTGTCTTCTGCTAGCTTTGGTCTTGCTCCTCTAGCTCTTTCAATTTTGATGATAGGGTGTTGATTTTAGATCTTTCCTTGCTTCTCATGTGGCCATTTATTGCTATAAATTTCCCTGTAGACACTGCTTTAAATGTGTCCCACAGTTTCTGGTATGTTGTGTCTTCATTCTCGTTGGTTTTGAAGAACATCTTTATTTCTGCCTTCATTTCATTGTTTATCCAATCAACATTCAAGAGCCAGTGTTCAGTTTCCATGAAGTTGTGTGGTTCTGAGTTAGTTTCTTAATCCTGAGTTCTAATTTGATTGTGCCGTGGTCTGAGAGATTGTTGGTTATGATTGCTGTTCTTTTGCATTTGCTGAGCAGTGATTTACTTCCAATTATGCGGTCAATTTTAGAGTAAGTGTGATGTGGTGCTGAGAAGAATATGTATTCTGTGGATTTGGGGTGGAGAGTTCTGTGGATGTCTATTAGGTTTGCTTGGTCCAGATCTGAGTTCAACTCTTGGATATCCTTGTTAATTTTCTGTCTCATTGATCTGTCTAACATTGACAGTGGAGTGTTGAAGTCTCCCACTATTATTGTATGGGAGCCTCTTTATAGGTCATTAAGAACTTGCTTTATGTATCTGGGTGCTCCAGTATTGAGTACATTATCTATTTAGGATAGTTAGCTTTTCTTGTTGCATTGATCCTTTTACCATTGTGTAATGCCCTTCTTTGTCTCTTTTGATCTTTGTTGGTTTAAAGTGTATTTTATCAGAGACCAGGATTGCAACTCCTGCTTTTTTTTTTTTTCTCCATTTGCTCAGTAAATCTTCCTCCATCCCTTTATTTTGAGCTTATGTGTGTCCTTGCATGTGAGATGGGTTTCCTGGATACAGCACACCGATGGATTTTGACTTTTTATCCAATTTGCCAGTCTGTGTCTTTGATTGGGACATTTACCCCATTTACATTTAAGGTTATTATTGTTATGTGTGAATTTGATCCTGCCATTTTGATACTAGCTGGTTGTTGTGCCCATTAGTTGATGCAGTTTCTTCATTGTGTTCCTGCTCTTTACCATTTGGTACATTTTTGCAGTGGCTGGTACTGGTTGATCCTTTCTGTGTTTAGTGCTTCTTCAGGAGCTCTTGTATGGCAGGCCTGGTGGTGAGGAAATCTCTGAACAATTGCTTGTTTGTAAAGGATTTTATTTTTCCTTTGCTTATGAAGCTTAGTTTGGCTGGATATGAAATTCTGGGTTGAAAGTTCTTTTCTTTAAGGATGTTGAATATTGGCCCCCAGTCTCTTCTGGCTTGTAGGGTTTCTGCCAAGAGATCTGCTGTGAGTCTGATGGGATTCCCTTTGTGGGTAACCTGACCTTTCTCTCTGGCTGCCCTTAGCATTTTTTCCTTCATTTTGACCCTGGTGAATCTGATGATTGTGTGCCTTGGGGTTGCTCTTCTTGAAGAATATCTTTGTGGTGTTCTCTGTATTTCCTGGATTTGAATGTTGGCCTGCCTTGCTAGGTTGGGGAAGTTCTCCTGGATAATATCCTGAATAGTGTTTTCCAGCTTGGATTCATTCTGTCTGTCACATTCAGATACACCTATCAAACATAGATTAGGTCTTTTTACATAATACCACATTTCTTGGAAACTTTGTCCATTTCTTTTCACTCTTTTTTCTCTAATCTTACCTTCACATCTTATTTCATTGAGTTGATCTTCAGTCTCTGACATCCTTTCTTCTGCTTGGTCAATTCAGCCATTGAAACTTGTGTATGCTTTGTGAAGTTCTCATGTTGTGTTTTTCAGCTCCATCAGGTCATTTATATTCTTCTCTAAGCTGTGTATTCTCATTAGCATTTCGTCAAACCTTTTTTCAAGTGTTTTGGGAACCAAGGCAAGAGGATGGCTTGAGGCCAGGAATTCAAGACCAGCCTGGGCAACATAGCAAGACTCCAGGGTGTGGTGGTGCCTGCCTGCAGTCCTAGCTACTCGGGAGGCTGAGGTGGGAAGATCACCTGGGTCCAGGCATTCGAGGCTACAGTGAGCTCTGATCATGCCACTGCACTCCAGCCTGGGTGACAGTGACAGACACCTTGTCTCTCTCTCTCTCTCTCTCTCTCTCTCTCTATATATATATATATATATATATATATATATATATACATACATATGCACACATATATGTACATATAGGTACATATGTGTATATCTATGTATATATACATGTGTACATAGGCACTCAATAATACAGAAAAATTAAAGCAAACATCCTCAAAATTCCTATCTTCTTTCTACCCCACTGGGAAAGATGCTACTGAAATTCTTAGCAGAGAACCTCCCCGATATTTATATTTGCATATGCAAATCTCTGAAGGAATTTACACACACTCGCACCTTCAGACACAAGACATATGTAATTTTACGTGAATGGAACTGCTGTTCACTCAATAATATGTTGTACACATCATTTCCATACATAAACATACATGCATTTTCCTTCATGGATAGAGGTACCACACATACTTCATTTAAAGTGACCTCCTATTGATGGGCACTGAGTTGGCTTCCAAAGTTTTGCTGTTATAAATAATGCTGCAGTAAACATCCTTGTATGTACATTTTAGTCATTTGCTCAGTTATCTCCCTGGGGAAAAAGATGTGCTATTTTTATAATCATATACAACAAACTTTGTTTTTCTGTCAATTGATGATCTATTTTGAATGCTTGCCAGCATTTCCTCACATCTTTAATTTCTAGGAATTAAAAATTAGCTCTGCTGAAACAGAAAGAATATACTCAAGCCAGAGCCAGGTGGAGGATCAGGAATGCCTACAGACTTGTGAACCAAATGAGATGCTTTCCATCGGAATAGAAGAAGTAAGTGACACCGTGAGACTCCTGACCTTATCAGGTACTGACTTTCCTTTCTAGCTGAGCACCTGCCCCACATTAGAAACTTAAATCTCACCAGAACACTGTTACCATCACTACCATTATGTGTTTTCAAGGTGCTGGGCTACCTTCTACCAAATGAGTTAAAGACTGAAATTAATCCATAAATTGACATAAGTTTCACTTACCCTTGGCAGGTATTCATCCCAATAGCTGCTCTCTTATGGAATGACTTTCTCTGCAGGTTTTTGATATTTTGCCCCTCTATGGAGTGTTGCAGCCACACAGCAGCCACCAAGTGTCGTTCACCTTCTATGGACACTGTAACATCATTTCACAGGCTAAAGCTCTGTGTGAAGTGGAAGGCGGACCCACCTATGAAATAACACTAAAGGGAGAGGCGTCCCTGGTCAGCTATTCCTTTGACACCAAGGATATTCACTATGGATTACAGGTATCACAAACCATCAGGTGGAGGTTTTCTGGTTTTGCCTTAAGCATCTTAAACAAATCTTCTCCTGAACCCTGATCATCACAGTCTCACCATCACCCCTGCCCTTGATCCCCAGTCTGCCTCCCTAACCCTGATCATCCTCCTGCTCCCAACTGTTTGCCAGATACTTGCACTTGTTTTTCTTATTATCTCCTGAAACACAGCATGTTAGATACTCAAGGTCACTTTCCCTTTCAATCCAGGAGCCTGTTCCAGCTTCTGCATTTCTCTCAAGAGCACTACCATTTTCTCACACCCCTAGGTTTACAATCTCCAGGGCTTTTCCACCACATCTCTCCTTCACCTCTCTATATCCTTATAAGTATCCAGGGTTTGCTGACTCATCAACAGGGTCCCCTCTCTGAGTCAGTTTTCCCTTCCCATTGGCACTGTTATTACATAACAGGGTCTCATCAAGCCATTCCTAAATTATTACAGCAGTTCCTCCCACACTGTAATGTGCCTACAAATCCCCTGGGAGTCTTGTTCAAGTGCAGATTCCGATTCAGTAAGTCCAGAGACATTTTCCAAATGGTGTTGTCATCCCATCAATCCCTGGCCAATTAAAACCTGAAGCATTTGGGAAAGCAATGTAATATTGACCAGAGCGTGGTTTCACATTCTGGTTTTACTTCCTCCTGACTGCATGGCCCTGGGCATATTGCCTCTCCAAGCCTCAGTGTCCCTCATCTATAAGATGGGAATGGAGTAACAGGCCTGTCCTTCCAGGAGCTGTCATTATTTGGCGTCCATTCTGTGCTGTGCTGGGTTAGAGTTGGATGTCAATTGTCGTGAGTTCCTTCAGGTCAGAGCCCATTCCTCTACCTGGGTGAGGCTATCCTAAGCCTCTCCATTAACTGGTGATCTTTACACTGTAAGTTTCATTTTCCATACTTCCCTATTATAATCCATACATTTCAGTGTGGCCAAGCTGGTCTACCCACTGGTCCCACTGAACCCCAGCCCTTCATGCGGCTACACTTTCTCTTACCTTATCCCTCTTATCCTCCACTCTGCCAAGCCCAAACCTCTGCATCCTGTAAGACCCAGCTCAGCTCCTTCCTCAGTTATCTTTTACTTTACATTCCCTTGGCACTTAGTGATACTCTTTGCCGTAATATAATATACTTTCCCATTTTAGCTTTGGAATAATTTTCAATTAATTCCATCAGTACATATTCTCTTCCCAATCAGATTCTGATTGGGAGACCATATCTCCTACGAAATTTCAGTGAAGACGGAATCTCTGTTACATAGCTCCTGCATGTATAATTACTGAATTGTGTGCATCTATGTGTGTTTGTCGATCAAAGATTGTGCCTAAAATTAGATTCACCTAACACCTACAGAGACTATCTCCATGATGCTGACCAAATAGAATTCTCTTTCCTTCCTCATCTCCAGGGTCCTTTGGGCACTTGCTTTTGGCTCATCTGTGAGTGTAGTCTTTGAAGCAGCCAGTCCTCACCCTAGCTTTTCCTGAGGACCCCTAAAGTGGCCTGTTTGTAGTTATTGGGCCTGCTAACCCAGCTGGTGAATTATGTTAGCAAAATTCCAGGAAAAAGAACATGACTGGCCTGTTACACCCATGGTTCTCCATTTGAATGGAAAAAAAAATTATTCTAGAACATTCTAAACTCAAATCTTTTGTTTTTCTTACAGGACAAAATCCAGAAGGCGAATCTTCTTAATGTAGAAAGGTTACTTTAAGATTCTCTATCACAAGTTCCTGTAGTGAAAAAACTGAGACCCAGGAAGGTTAAATGCTCAACCCCACAACCAAACCTAAACTAAATCCATTCTTAGAAGAACTAAGAGCCAGTTTTCCAGAGTCTAGGTTTCCAGTTGGCATTTGCTGTGATGCTAAGATATAGACTGACCAGTGTTTATATCAGGAGCTGTCACATTCTAATCCATGAGGCATGTTTCTGCACCTTTGTCATGATCAAAGCCATATCCCAAAAGTGGGTGGCAAAGGAGTCACTCTTCCCCTTCTCTTCTCAAGCTGTTTGACCACATCACAGAGAGGGAAATCACGCTGATGAACACGGGGAAAGTCAGCTTTGAGTTCAAGGTTCTGACTGACCACCAGTCTTCTCCAGACAACCTTCTACCTGGAGTGCCACTAATTCTGCCTCTTTCGGTAAGTAAACAGTGGGAGGGGCCTGAATTCAAACCTACAAGCCTCACCCCGATGCATGTGAGGATTCACAGCCAGGACTACAGGTGTGACTTTTTCTTCTTATTAAAACTGAAGAACTCTCAGAAGCAGAAAAAAATAAATAAATCCAAGCCACTTCAATCACTGATTAAACAGATATTTGTTTAGTCCCCAAGTAGTCAGTTTCCAGGCACCAGGGATACAGCAATCAATAAGACAGATGCAACCCATGGATTTTTTTTTTAACCATGATAATGAGACTAATTTATTTCCACCGGTGTCTTCACACTGCCCTTGTAATTCCCGAGGGCCTCCTCTCCACTGACTTTAGCAGGTGTGAAAACACCAGCAGAGTGTGCTGAGCCAAACTGGTTTCAGAAGCAAACAGAGGAAGTGATTTCTTGTTCATATTATGTTGATCTACCAGTTTTAAGGAACATTTCTTGAATTTTTCTTATTATGAAAATAGCACACAATTGTTACAGAAAAAAATGAAAATATTTTTAAAGTATAACTATTCATACTCTTGTAATCCCAAGATAATGAGTGCCATCATCATTGATGGTAAAGTCTGTTCTTCCCCTAAATTATCTCACATATTTGAGTTTACTGCTGGTCTATTTATTCTTCATTGCTCTGTCTGTCCCTGCATTATCTGTCTGTCCCGACATTAATACTATACTATTTTTATTGCTGTGGCTTTAAAATACATATTAATATCTGTTAGGTCAACTCCCCTTTTGTTTTTTTCCCAATGTATTTTAGCTCACCTTTTGAATTCACTTTTTTGGTGTTTTGTTTGTTTGTTTGTTTGTTTTTGAGGCAGGGTCTGGCTGTGTTGCATAGACTGAAGTGCAGTGGAAAGATCTTGATTCGCTGCAACTTCTGCCTCCTGGGCTCAAGCAATTCTTCCACCTTAGCCTCCCAAGTAGCTGGGACCACAGGCATGCACCACCACACCCAGCTAATTTTTCATTTTTTTTTTTTTAGAGACAGGCTCTCACCATGTTGCCCAGGCTGGTCTTGAACTCCTGAACTCAAGAGTCTGCCTGCCTCAGCCTCCCAAAGTTCTGAGATTACCCCAAAGTTCTGAGATTACAGGCATGAGCCACCACATCCAGCCCAAATTCACTCTTATGTTTTGTTTCTCTAACCTCCTAAATTGAATGCCTGCATTCTTTTTTTTCTTAGTCAATAACGAAAAATTGTAAGATTGTTCATTTGCCTAAGGACACCTTTAGCCTTATTCCTTATATTTTAAGAAAATTACAGATAAAAAAGTAGAAGTCAATTTTGTATGTTTCACACATTAATATTTACTACTATAACTTTCATTATTTTCTAAGTTGTCTAATATTATAGTTTTACTTGCAAATATAATTTAAAATATATTTTTCTTTTTTAAATTTCCAAATGACTAAGATTTTTGCTTTTGTTATTTAAACTGTTAGTAATATTGAGGTTTTTTTGAATCGTGATCAGATAATATGGCCCTCTAAATTCCTACTTAGTTAATTTATTAATATATTTTAGTGACCTGAAGTGATTTTTTTTTTTGAGGTAGAGTTTCGCTCTTGTTACCCAGGCTGGAGTGCAATGGTGCAATCTCGGCTCACCGCAACCTCCGCCTCCTGGGTTCAGGCAATTCTCCTGCCTCAGCCTCCTGTGTAGCTGGGATTACAGGCACGCGCCACCATGCCTGGCTAATTTTTTGTATTTTTAGTAGAGATGGGGTTTCACCATGTTGACCAGGATGGTCTCGATTTCTTGACTTCATGATCCACCCGCCTCGGCCTCCCAAAGTGCTGGGATTACAGGCTTGAGCCACTGTGCCCGGCCCTGAAGTGATTTTTAATATGTTTGAAAATAATGTTACCTGGGCTATAGAATGGAGATTATCATACCTGGAATCTCTAGTAAAATAACCTGAATAATTATAACATTCAAATCTTCTCTATCTTTTTCTAAGACTCGAGAGTGGCATATAAAACTTTTGTCCATTTCTCTATTGTTTTCTACACAGCACCTTTTAGTTTTATGCCTTTTTTGTTTCTCTGTCGACACAGAAGATCTCATGGCTATTCTGTGTTCATCATGGACTGTGTTTTGTCTACCTTAAATTGCCTTCTTGTTCCCTTTGAATGCTCTGCTTTGAATTCCACTTTGTTTGGTTGTAGTATTGTGATTGCTGCTTTCTTTTTACCTTACATCGTTTGCCCATAGTCTATTTCATTTTGTTTTAGGCTTATACATTGAAGAGTACACATTCTTCAAAACAGATCACATACAACATGTGTATTTCAAATTTATTTTTTAATTTTCTCTGAGAGCCCTTCAGTTTCAATAGGAACATTTAACACATTCTTATAATTAGCAAAACTGAAATACTTACTGTTATTTCCTTCATTGGATTTTGTTTGTCTATTTTTAAAATTCCCTTAGTGTTTCCTTTTCATTCTATCTTTTTAACACAATTGCTATGTTTTCCTTGCCCTTTTCCTAAATTTTTAAAAGCATTTGAATTTACATTGCTGCAGTTATTGTAAATTGATGACCATACAGAGAACAATTTGGCCTTATCTATTAAAATTAGACTTTGACCCAGAAATTTCACTTCTAAGAATTTATTCTACATACATGTTCCCACATTTGCACAATGATGTGTTTGTAAGATTATTTTCTCTATATTTTGTAATGGCAATAGCAAAAGACAAGAAACTAACTAAATGTCTATCATTGAGAAACTAGTTTTTAAAAATATATTAAACCTATGAAGTGGAATAATACATAGCAACTAAAAATGATGGAGTAGCTCTAGATGTACTAACATTGAGTTAATTGTAAAATATATTGTTAGGTAAAAAGAAGATGAAAAACACTCTATATGCTACCATCTGCATTTAAAATACATGTATATTGTTGGATTCACTTAGCTACTATTTTACTTTAAATTTTTGCACCTTTTTATAGCAATTGTTAGTTAATAAATTTCCTTCTTCATGCTGCATTTCATCAGTTTGGATATCAGATTTTTAAAAAATGGGCATTTCTCTTTTTTCTGTTTCCTGAATGGCTCATAAACTAAAGAGATGATCTGTTTTGAAGGAGTGGTAGACCTTGCTTCTAATGCCGTGTATTCCTTTGCCAGGGTAATTTTCTTCATTTTTCAGTTTCTATATAGGATACAGATCACTCTGGGGTTTTTTAATTTGGTTATTCATATTTTTCTGGGAAATTATTAATTTCACGAACGTTTCAATATGTTGAAATAAAGTTTTCTCATAATCATATATGATTTATGTACTATTTTACTACATCTACTACTTCTTTCCTTGTCTTCTTAATCAGTCTCGCCAGTTTTGTGTATTTGATTTGTCATTTTTCAAATAAACAGTTTTTGGATTTATGAACCTCGTCTATTTCTTTGCACTCTGTTTCATTAAATCTCTTACTCGTTTCCTTCTTTCCTCAGGTTTACTTAGTCATTGTTGATGTTGTTGTTTTAACTCACTGAGTGAGTTGAGCCTGTGACATACTTGTTCTCCCTCTTCTGGTCTTTCTACTGCGTAGGGTTTTATCAGTTCACATCAAGAGCAGGTATTGAAAGTTTACTACCTACCTGGAGTACCTGAGGTCTTTAAAAGGAGTTTCCAGATACAGATCGCCCACCTGGACCCAGAAAGTATCACTCTGAGTGGAGAGGGAATCTTTCCCCAAATCTGCCTCGATCTCCCCAGGAACCTCACAGGTACTACTTCACATTGGAATATTTCTCCACTGGGGGGCAAAACAAACATTTTAGCTTTGCTTATTGGAAGGTTGCTGGCTACTTAATTTATTTGCTTAGAGATCCCGTGTGGCTCTCTTCCATGTTATTCCTCAATTGCCAAATTGGTAACCTGAGTTTAGTGAGACAAGAAATGATCTATGGCAGTCCCAGATGAAGAACCCTGGTCAGTTTGGCCATTACTGAATTACTTACAGAGGGATCGGGAAATTCACCTCCTTTTCCTCCACTTGTGCACTTTCCTACCAGCCCTGGTCTTTCCCTGAGCTGTCCTTTCCCAGTGGTATTCTCCTAGACGGCCACTGGGAAGGTGAGAGCCAACGTGCTTCCAGGCGTACAATTCTCAAAGTATAAACTGCACAGAAGGGCAAACAGATCCTGAGCCAATATTCTGGCACTACACAAGGTAAAGGCTAAATTAGACTTTAATAATTGTCTTCCACTTACGTTTTCCAGTTATTTCTGGCGCCTGGGACTATTCTTTCCTACCAGAATATTTCTGTCTTGGTGGGTTCCAGATCTCAGCTGAGCAGGCCCTTTTAGCCATAGACTGTCCCTGGCTCTTTCTTCTAGACATCAGGTACAGGATGATGGGTCAGGCAAACTTCTCACCCTTCATAAATCCCTCTTCAAGCTCATTGAAATCTACTTTCCCTCAAAAACTTCAGACTAAATCCTCCCACCCAGCCTTTCCTCTTACCACATTCCCTGAAGTCACTAACTCTCCTGTTGCTAATCATCTGCTGAATTCTAATTGTCTTCTCCCTGAAAACTTGCAAAAAAAAAAACATATATATATATACACACATATATAATGTGTGTATATATATGTGTGTGTGTGTGTGTGTGTATGTATATATATGTGAGCAAGACCCTGTCTATTTTAAAAGGTCTCACTCTGTTACCCAGGCTGAAATGCAGTGGTGCGATCATAGCTCACTGTAACCTTAACTCCTAGGCTCAGGGGATCCTCCTGCCTCCGCCTCCTGAGTAGCGGGGACTACAGGTATACACTGCCATGCCTGGCCTCCTTTTTTTTTTTTTTTTTTTTTTTTTTTTAAGATGGGATCTCACTTTGTTGCCCAGGCTGGTCTTGTAATCCTGGTCTCAAGTGATCCTCCTACCTCAGCCTGACAAAACACTAGGATTACAGTCGTTGAGCCATAATGCCTGGCAATAAATGTCACTAACGCCAAGACCATGTTACACTCTCGTATCTAGAGTTCAAGCCAGGCAAGGGTTACTCCAGCTCCACATGTAATTTTCAGGAAGGAAGACCTTTGCCATATGAGTGAAAACAGGGCACCCAGCTAGCCTCATCAGAGCAGTAGATACGGTTTGGCCAGTAAGGGCTTTAAAATAATTTAAATTTGAACACCGTTGATTGAGTCTTCTGTTCTCCAGTTCACTACAGTCACGGCATTTCCTATTGTGTTATAATAGGCTTCTTTTCTTTTTTCTTCCTTTTTTTTTTTTTTTTTTGAAACAGTCTTACTCTTTCACCCAGGCTAGAGTGCAATGGTGGGATCTCAGCTCACTGCAGCCTCTGCCTCCGGGTTCAGGCTATTCTCATGCCTCAGCCTCTCAAGTAGCTGGGATTATAGGCACATACCACCATGCCCAGCTACCTTTTTGTATTTTTAGTAGAGATGTGGTCTCGCCATATTGCCCAGGCTGGTCTTGAACTCCTGAGCTCAGGCAATCCACTGGCCTCAACCTCCCAAAGTGCTAGGATTACAGGCATGAGCCACCACACCTGGCCTTTAGTAGTCATTTTAAATGACTTTCCTACCTTGCCTTTCAAAGTATTTGGATTTGTACTGGCTTAGTGGTGAATTCGGGTGGGAATCTCTCTACCAATTACCTACCCTCCCTGATTCAGGATATTGTGGCATATTTAGTGTTAATTAAAGCAACTTGACCCAAACATATTTTTTGTTAATTGAGATTTAATAAACATAAAAACTGACTTAAAGGATGACCAGCTGCCTGGGTTGTCCAATACTGGGAGAGCTTCGGGGTTTAAGTGCCAGACCAAGAAACCCCCAAGCACACCAGGATCAAAAGGGTCACCCTACAAGTGGCTTCAAATGTTACTACCTTCAAGTTCTGGAGAACCAGCCAGTCATTTACCAAAACATAATCTCATTGAACTCACTGAGGTCTCTGATACATATTCAACTCTCAAATCACCTCACCCTCTGAAGCAGAGAAAGCAAGGCTGTGTTTGGGACATCATTCATATTTTTCTAACCTTCCTGATTCTGCTCTCCTTTCATCCCCCACTCCCCGCCCTGGCACAGCGAATGAAAAGTATGAAACCTTCTTGAATCAGGCCAGGAAAAACACTGACAAAGAGTATAACAAATGTGAAACAGTCGATCAGTTTGACATAATAACCGAGGAAGTGCCAGAAGATGAGTCTGCAGAGGTAAGGCAGCTGCAGCCTGCATGGGACACCAGTGCAGGATGGCGGTGTGTGCAAGGGATGTGTGTGCAGAGGGGTGCTGTGTGCAGCGTGTGTGGGATGCATATGTAGAAGGGCACTGCATGTAGAGGCCCAGGGGCAAGGACATGGTCTCTGAGGTACAGAGAGGAGAAAGACAGAGATAAAGCAAAGAAGCTGGAAGCTAGGAGAGGCGAGATGAGCCCGGGAGATGAGCTCTCAGGTGGCTGGCACATTAAGGTCTTTGGACTTCATCCTGAGGGCAAACAAAGGTGTAGCCTAATCTACTTCCCATATTTAAGAGATCCCTTTGGCTGCCTTGTAGAACTCTGAGGGGACAGGAACTTGGGGATGATGAGAGTAGATTTGAGAGATCAGTTATTTTGGAAGCCAATGGAGGGCCAGGTGCAATGGCCCATTCCCATAACCCCAATACTTTGGGAAGCCAAGGTGGGAGGATGACTTGAGGTCAAGCATTTAAAACCAGCCTGGGAAACATAGTGAAACTCCACCTGTACAGTTTTTTTTAAGCTGATGGAGTAATTCTAGGTGAGAGATGGTGGTACTGAAAGCAATGGTGACAGTGGGAATAGGGCAAACTGGGTGGGTTCAAGGAATATTCCAGAAGTGGAATGGTCAAGACTTAGGGATTGATTGGATATGGGCTTGGGGTGGAGGGGACCTCGAAGTCTTGCTTGGATGACCAGGAAAGGAGAGGGACTGAGACAGGCAACAGGGGAAGCAAGTCTTGATGGGAGGAGTTGGAAGGGAAAGGAGTTCAGCTGCTTCCGGTGGCTCCCGAATGTGAGATTTCTGTGCATCATCCACGTAGAGCAGCCAGTAGGGAACTGGAGCCACCGCTGGGGGGCCTGGGGAAGAAAGAGAGGTTGGAGAAAGTGACTTGAGAGACAATGGATGCCTATTGCAATCACAGGAAATGAGGAGATTCCCTAGGAAGTGTGTCTAGTGAGCAGGGAGAAGGGCAGATTCAGAATGGAGCCCCAAAGTACCCCAGCATCTGAATGGGGGAGAAGGGGTGACCAAAAGGTTCTGGAAAAGTCAGGAGCTTGTGATGCTGCAGAGGTGGGAGCCAAGAGAGGGTCTCTGGAGGAGGGAGCGTCTCAGCTTGTAAATAGAGGCTGGGATAGGAAGGCAAAGTCTCAGTATGTCTGCCCTCATCACCCCTGAAAGTCCTGTTTTAACAGTCTGTTCCTAACCATGACAGCTGCCATCCCCCTGTGCCCTTCTTTCAAAATGCAAATGTGCATGAGAATATTGTTCTAAGGAAGAATCATATATGTGGCTAGAGAGCCCTTAGGCTGGTTAAAAGGGGTTCTAAAGTGGGAGAGAAAGATGTCATGGGGGAGACTGGGAGCACCAAAGGCCACCAGCGATGATTTGCTTTGCAGAAGCCTGGTTCAAGCACAAGATGCCAAAAGTGAACCTTAGCACCAAGGATGATCATAATTAATAACATCAGCTACCATTTACTCGGCTTTTGTACTAAGCCTGTGTCACACTATTAACCTGCACTGTTATCTTGTTAAATCTTCCCATAATGAGGGTGGGGGAAAAATGGTGCCACTGTCATCTAAATTTTAGTTTTACAGAAGTGAAGGACATGTCCCAAGGCAAGCCCAGAGCTAGGATTTGCACCCAGGCCTGCCCAGCTGCTAAGATGGTGCTCTTAGCCTCTGCCTTCTCCTACCAGACCTGGGCTGCCCACTGGCGGCAGTGGTGTGTCTCCACCTGCTAACCACATTCCCAGGCTGCACCTCATCAAAGCCTAGGATAGCTGTGGGGTGGGGTTTCTATGAACATAATGGTACGCGCAGAGCCAAGCTGATCCCCTTGAGTAGGACAGGGTGGACCACTCGTGGCTCAGGAGCCAAGCACAGGGTTGGCTTTGCTCCTCTAGAATGCAGGTAACTGGGAATGATGTCAGCAGGCCCTGCTCCTCTCCCAGTTTGTCACACATCACTCTCACCTCCTGTGCCTCACTGTGGGCCATGGTACACATTAACCTTTCCTGCTGGGCCCTAGATTTAAGGGTTAGCCCTTTTCAAACAGCATTTCTCAACCTTTTCCATTATCACCCCCTAAAAATTCATTTTAGACCTTTTTTCCTAATACTCCCCATGAAATATTTTTATTATATACAAAATGGAATCTCTTTGAATAGTTTGATATATACTTTTTCAACTTTATATTTTGAAATAATTATAGATTTACAGGGAATTTTAAAAAAAAGTTTTTACCAGCAGTAATATCTTGTATAACTATAGTACAGTATCAATCCACAAAATCGACACTGGTACAAGCCACAGAGCGAATTCAGATTTAACCACTCTTATATGCGTGTGTGTATGTGTGTGTGCGTGCATGTGTGTGTGCGTGTGCATGTGTGTGTGCATGTGTGTGTGCGTGCGTGCATGTGTGCGTGTGTGTGCGTGCGTGCATATGTGTGTGTGCGTGCATATGTGTGTGTATGTGTGTGTGCATGTGTGTGCGTGCATGTGTGTGCATGTGTGTGTGTGCGTGCATGTGTGTGTGCATGTGTGTGTGCGTGCATGTGTGTGTGTGTGTGCGTGCATGTGTGTGTGTGTGTGTAGTTCTGTGCAATTTTATTACACGTAGATATGTGAGCTCATCACCACAATTAAGATCCAGAACTATTCCACTGCTACAAGGATTCCTTGTGCTTCTTGGGGAAACAAAATTAAAAACAAAATCTCTTTCCAACCCAGAAAATCTATCCACAAAGGTAGAAGAGAAAGAAAACAATTTTATTATTGAAGAAGCATTAAACCGGAATGTGATAAACATCACAGGCAACCCACTACTAAAAGATTGCAAAGACAGAGGAAGTCTGCCCCTCTTGCAGAGCCAAGCAGATCCAAGGCATTTCATTCATGTTCTCAGAATAAATAATAGCTAGTCTCAAGTAAGAGGACTTGACACCATCATTTGTCACACATTGTTTATCCTGAATCAAAATGGTAATTAAAGTGACCAGCTGTGTTAGCTAATTGGCTTTATCCAAGGAAAAACAAACTTGTCTTTCTAGCAGGGTCCCATAGAAGCTAGGCTCCCATCCTCTCACAGAAACTGGAAATAGGGACTTCATCTTCCTTGTTGATTACATTTCAAAGAGATGCCTTGAGATAGACACTTCTGGGTCCTAAAGCTGGCAAGAGGCTTATTTCACTTTTAAAAAGATTTATCTACATTTCAAAGCGATAACATTTCAAAGAACTTAAAATTACAAATGTTGTAAACTAAATATTGTAAGAAAAGTAAGAAGAGAACTCTATTTTCAACAAGGAGAACTAAGCCTCATTTTCCATTTGTGTTTGATCTTACACATGCCCCACCCCCACCCCGTTATAACCACGCCCACCTTCTCTCCCCATTCCTTACCTCTGGCAACCACTCATCTGTTCTCCATCTTGATCCTTTTGTTATTTCAAGAATGTTATATAAGTTGAATCATACAGCACATCACACTTTGAGATTGGCTTTTTTCATTTCACATAATGCCCTTGTAATTCCATTCAAGTTGTGCACCTCAATAATTCATTCCTTTTTACTGCTGAGTATTCCATGGTATGGACATACCAATTTGCTTACCATCCCCGCACCCTTCCCAGGAAAAATTTAATGCCTTAAACATACTGTGTATTTGTTTATGTTCTGTGGCCCTTGGGGGGCCACAAACCATTGTAATATTTCCAGTATTTTCCACCACCCTCCAAGAACTAATTTTTGCCTCTTTAGGGGTGATATTGTCCCTGTTGAAAATCCATGTTCCTAAAGAATTTGCTGACTTGCCCTTCTCTTGCTTCAGGTAAGTTCTCATATCCAGATGGAAGTAGAGAGACTTATTGTCCAAAGCTATGTCCTAGAACGTCAGAAAACGATCACCCCTGATCCCACAGACACCTGCTTCAGCCTTCGGAATCGCCGCAAACTGGCCAAGTGAGTGGTTTCCAGTGACTGCCCTTCTGTGCTGTGCTTGCTTCAGAATGCAGCAGAGCAAGCAGTGCTGCCTGATGCAGAGCACTCCCAAAACACGGGCTGATCATCTAGAAATGAAATCCACTCGCCTCTGTTATCTGTCATCCCCTAGCATCAGGCCAACTGGGCAGGTTTCTGCCTCTTAAAGTGACAACATTAGAGCTGAGTCTAATAAACAGACCCAGTTTCAGATCCACGGGGGCCCATGCGGAACGTGTTCTGAGAAAATGGCCCAAACAGCAGTGTGAATTTCTGGGGGAGTTATGTTGTTTCTAGTCTCCATTTGGGTAGCTGTTCATTGCTCTCCACTCTAGAGAATAAAACTGTACACAGGAGATAGAAAAAAAAAGTCAGGCTCTCTCACTTTTGAAAAGTGGCCTTCCAGGTTTGAAAGTGACTAATAAGGACTGTTAACCATTTCAGAGTCCAGCTGCCAGAGTACATCCTGGACTTCGGCTACATCATCCTTGGTGAAGTCCGAACCCACATCATCAAAATCACCAACACCAGTCAGTTTCCAGTGTCGTTCCACGCAGACAAGCGCGTCCTTCATGAGACAGGTACCCAGGCTGGTGAGGCCCTTTCCTATTATACTTGATCATTTCTCACAAGGAACCCATTAGTACTGTCCTCCTGGAGCAGCATTTGTGCCTCTGCGATCAGCTAAAAGGATTCTTGGGCTATTCAATGATCCTGAGTGGTCCTTCTGACCCAGTGGGGGCTTTCTCTAGAGCAGTTCTTGTTTGCTGTTTCTCTTTCCCACCTAGATATTTTTTTGTCTTGGTCCAGGATTTAGTACTGAGCTAGATCGTGTAAAGAATCTGCCTTACTGTGAAACAGAAACGTTTGAAGTGAGATTTGACCCACAGGGGGCCAATCTACCTGTTGGAAGCAAAGAAGTCATTCTGCCCATCAAGGTACGAGGCACCACTGGGCCCACCCAGCCCTGCAGGTTTCCTGCTCTGCTTGCTGATGGCCCCTGGGATGATTCAGTTATTATGTCAGAGCTATGATTCTTCCTTTCCCCAACCCCATGTCACATGGTAACTTCAGTTTATACCTGCTCTAGGTGGTTGGAGGGCCACCAGTTCACATCTGTCTTCAAGCCAAGGTGACCATTCCAACCATGACTCTCTCTCGTGAAAAAGTGGACTTTGCCACAATTCAGTGTGGACAGTGCCTGGTGGAAACTATTCAGCTTTCCAATCATCTCCAAGTCCCTTGTGAATGGTTTGTCCACAGCCAAAAGCCTATTGACAAGGTAAAGGAGCTGTGGCCCATTGATCCTCCTTTCTCCATCTCCATTTCAGCCAGATTTGTAAGTCTAGGCCTTTGTACTCATCATTTCAATCTCCGGCTCAAAGACTTGCATTGCCTCCTGAATAAAATCTGGGCCCTTATCCCAGCCCTTGAGGTCCTGTCAAGCCATACTGTCGGGTGGAATGTCTTATTCATCTTTGTACCTCTGGTATCTACACATTCCCTGACACCTAAGAGGTATTCAGGAAATGTGGGTTGGTTGTGTGAGTGGAAGGTGAATGAGTTTATTTTCCATAGAGGATGATCTGATTGTCTAATATTTGTCAACCAGCTGGAGAAACACATGCCAAAATACTTAAGACAGAAACTGCGTGCAGAATTAAAGCCCAAGATCCGGATCTTTGAGATCCAGCCCATTTCTGGAGTCTTGGATCCTGGTGAGAAGTCCAACGTGCAAGTGAAATTCATGCCAAAAGAAGAGGTGAGCTTTAAAGAAACGTGGCTTCATTTAGGTTATCTGGACCTCTTTGAGCTTTACTCAAGTCCGTGCTTGTCTGAGTCTCAAGGGAAACTGTGAGTGATCTGTGCCTCGCTTTTCTGAATATGGCATCCCAAGCACTTCTGGTTCACATAGGGGCTGTGTGGCTTAGTGGTCCGGAATCATCAGACTAACACATCAATTATCATCAGCAGGCCTGGGTTTGTAGCCTTCTGCCTCTGCACACTTCCATGCTGTGTGTCTTTGAGGAAATTACTTAGCCTCATTCAGCCTCAGTTCACTCATAGATAAAAGAAAAAGTAATAATATTGCATATCAACAGTCCCTTATTGAAATTCTGAAACCCAGTAAGAACTAAAAATGGGGGTGGGGGGTTTGAGATTTCATAAGTTTCGGACAAAAACTCATTTGGCAGAAAAGTCTCGTCTGAACTGACATGAGACCATTTAACCTTTATTTATACCACTTAGTTTTCAGAGTCAAACATCGCCAACAAATATTAATGTGTTTGAGTATGGGGGAACTGCCCCAGACCCTGCTAAAAGTATTAGGTAACATATGGTATAGGCACTGTGCTTACTATTTTTAAAAATCTGAATTTGAAAGTATCTGGCCCTAGGTTTCAGATAAGATATTGTCAACCTGCAATGACTACCTTCTAAAATCATTTTGAGGATTCAATGCACAGCACTGAATGCTGTTCTATGTATAGTAAGTCTCTCAATATCTATTAACTATTATCTTCAGTAGTCCTGAAAAGTACATCCCAGTATATGACCTCCCATAGCTTCATAAATGTTTCTTTTGTGAACATTATTAACTCAGAGCTACTTCTGACCAGGAACACAGTAAAATTAATAAGATTCTAGAACCAGAGAGAATCTCAAGAGGTTGCACCATAAAGATTTTTGTTCAAAACCTAAGGCATTTGGGAAATATGTTTTTCTCTATTCTGTTCTTTTAACAGGAAAATTAATGTGTGTTTTATAGAAGAGCTGTGGTTAACTCCCATTTTCCTGGTAATGGCTTTGACAAAATGCTTAAATACCTTCAGTGAAAAACAGAAAAAAGCAAATGACTTCATATCTCATTCTAAAATAAAACCCATGTTTTTATCATTATCAAAATCTTCCCAGTTTGTTTCAAAGAAAATTAGTAATATGTTTATCATTCTTAAAGAGTCTTAAAATTTTCAAAGGGTTTACTCAAGATTGTGGATTTTTTTCCCCATTACTTAATCTGGGAAACATCGTAAAAATAATGGATTTGTGAAAGCAGTTTCATGAATGTTGAGTTGGAATTGGTCAAAGTCAATAAAAATGTTTCTACCAAATAAGAGAGAAATGTGTCATCTCTTTTAATATTTTTTCTTTTTCTTTTTCTTTTTCTTTTTTTTTTTTTTTTTTTTTTGAGACGGAGTTTCGCTCTTGTTACCCAGGCTGGAGTGCAATGGCGCGATCTCGGCTCACCGCAACCTCCACCTCCTGGGTTCAGGCAATTCTCCTGCCTCAGCCTCCCGAGTAGATGGGATTACAGGCACACGCCACCATGCCCAGCTAATTTTTTTTTATATTTTTAGTAGAGACGGGGTTTCACCATCTCGATCTCTTTACCTCGTGATCCACCCGCCTCGGCCTCCCAAAGTGCTGGGATTACAGGCTTGAGCCACGGCGCCCGGCCGAAATGTGTTATCTCTATACGAGGAATTGGTTAGTCCTACAACCCATACAATCCATATCTGCATCATCATCAACATCAACAGTACCAAGAAATCACTGACATCCACAGCAACAATTCTTGGGCATTATAGCATGTTCAAGAAAATGAATGAAATGTTTTAGAAAGATTTCCATAAGGAGTAATTAAAATATAGAAGTTTGAATCATAAGGTACTAAGCCAATAGCTATATAGAAACCCCTCTTAGCCAATAATTTATCTTTTGTCCAGCAATAGATATTTCTGTGTGTGTGTCTGTATACATTCCATCCATTTGCTTTTTCCCTTCAAGCTAAGATAGAAAGTCTTCAAATTGTGGTTTGCACAATTTCCACTCACACCAAGCCACAAGTCCAGCTATACCACAATAACCTAGGCATCTGGTTAAAAATGCTAAATCTTACTCTGCCCCTAGGGAGTCAGGATTTCTAGGGATGGAATCTGAGGATCTGCATGTTTAATAGGTTCCCCAATGAAATCAGATTAGGAACTATGGAATGGAATGTAGACTTTGGTACCATTTTGAGAAAACATGTAAGTAGTTGTGATATCATTATTATCCAGGCTGGGCGTGGTGGCTCATGCCTATAATTCAAGCACTTTGGAGGCCAACGCGGGCGGATCACCTGAAGTCGGAAGTTCAAGACACTATTATCCAGTATTTGATTGTAATTGTATCTGATGAACTGAATGCCCTAGCCCTGGCATTCTGCCAGGCTCTGGGAAAATACACTAAATATGCTCTTTAGAATCATACTCCTCAGGAGCAAGGGAGCTGGGGTCTTTTTACAATAAATCCCTAGAGCCATTGCTTGAGAACTACTTCCAGAAAATATTATTTCCCTGGCATTTCTGCCCTGCCTTCCCCTTCCCATAGACAGGAGGGTTCATGAAATGAGAACCTTCAGGCCCAGAGGTACAGACTGTGGCAGTTGGAAGTCCGAGCACACTGAAAGATCTGAAGGATATAACAGTGACAGAGACCTTGCTACAAATAATGAAGCACTTGATACAAGTGCTACAGTGCTAGATACTCAGAATTTATTTTATACCTAGCACTTAGTACAATGCCTGGCATGCTAAATACCCAGTACTTATATTAATCTAGTAATATCAATTACTCTTATGCAATTTTATAATAACTTACCTCTCTCAATCTAAATAAATAGTTTTTTTCCTCTCAGCAGTGTTTTGTTTTACATGCCATGTAATAGAAATAAATTCAGATGCTTGTTTTGTTTTTATGTTTTTCAGAAATTCTACAGCCAAACCCTAATGTTTCAGATTGCCCAGAGTACTCAAAAGCTTACACTGCTGGTATATGGGCAAGGTCTAGAGCCACGCCTGGAATTTAGTCCTTCAGTCCTGGACCTGGGGCCACTGCTACTTTGTGCACCTAGAGATGAGGCCGAAGTGATAGTGAAGAATCCCTGTGACTTCCCCATTGAGTTTTATTCCTTAGAATTTGATCAGCAATATCTCATAGAAGAAAAGGTGAGCAGAGGCCAAAGCCAAACTCTATTTTTCCACATGTGCTGGACCCTGCTATGTACTCACGCTCTTTTCTCTGCATGAAATAACAACCTCCTGGCCTTTCCCACCTTTTCCCATTGAATTCTTCCTTGTCAATTTAGTGATTACTTCTCTATAGCCTTTCCTGACTTACTTCCCTTGACCTGAGTAGAATCCTATACATTTTAAGCAACTAATTGAAAAACTAATGCATGTTCATGTTAAAATTCAAACCGTAAAGAACCGTATGTAGCAACTTGCCAATATCATTATATTTGAAGTTGAGTTACTTGTAGACAGCATGTAATTGAGTCATTTTTTAGAATGTACTCTGCCAATCTCTGGCTTTAGTTGATGTATTTAGACCATTTACACTTACTGTAATTATTGCTATGCCAGGACTCAAGAGGACTTAATTGTATGTTCTGTTTTTTTTTGGTCTGTTTGCTTTTTCCTACTTTCCTGTCAGTTGCTTCAACATTATTTAAAATTCCATTTTATTTATTTACCCAGGATGTTTTTTGCATGTATCTCTTTGTGTAGCTTCTTTAGTTGTTGCTGTAGGTCTTACCTTATCTATATATAACATTATAATCAACTGGTATTGACATTTTACCAGTTCTAGTATAATTTAGAAAACTTTCCACCATTTAAGTCCCTTCAGCCTTCTGATTTTTAATGTCACTGTCTTAAATGTTTTTCTTATATTATCTAGCACTATAATTATTGTTTAATCTGTCAAACACAACATTTGAAAACCCTAGAGGAAATGGAAAATGTATTATATTTGTCTTTCTTTTTACTTTTTCTGTTCTTTCTTCCTTTCTGATATGCCAAGATTTCTTCTTTTATTATTGACTTTCTGTTTAGAGAGCTACCTTTAGCTCTGCCATTAGGGTACACCTGCTAATAGAAATGTCTTAGTTTTCCTTCACTGAGAATGCCTTGATTTCCCCCCTCATACTTGAAGGATTTGTCCACTGGATATAGAATTCTGAGTTGACAATCTTTCATCCCTTGAAAAATATGCCACTTTCTTCTGACCTCCTCCATGGTCTGATGAGAAATTCAATGTCATTTGAATTTTTTTTTCTTTATAAGGAGGATTTCATTTCTCACTGCTTTCAGGAATTTTTCTGTGCCTAAGTTTACGGAAGTTTGACTAAATGTTTCTTGGCATAAATTTCTTTTGGTTTATTCAGTTTGGGACTTGGTGAGTTTCTTGAATCTGTTGATTTTTATCTTCTTTCCAATTTGGAAGTTTCTCAGGCATTATTCATTTGAGTACTTTTTCAGCCTTGTGCTCTTTCTACTCTCCTTCCAGGGCTCAAATGACACTTGTATTAGATGTTTTGTTAGTTTTACAGTTATTTGAGGTGGTTTTCTTTTTTTTTAAGTCTATTTTGTCTGTTATCCAGATTAAGTAATTTCTGTTATTTTATCTTCAAGTTCACCAATTCTCTTCTCTATCCATTTTATTCTGCCCATATATTGAGTTTTTATTTTGGTAACTGTATATTTAAGTTCTAGAATTTGTATTTGAATTTGGTTCTTTTTTATATCTTGTGTTTCTTTGCTAAGACTTTCTTTTTTTTATTTGCTTCAAATATGTTCATAATTGTTCACTGAAGCATTACAATGATGGCTGCTTTAGAATCTTTGCAAGATAACTAATATCACTGTTATCTTGAAGTGATATTAGTTGCTTCAACTAATCTATTCATTTTCTGTTATCATTCAAGGTGAAATTTTCCTGGTTGTTACTATGATGAAGGATTTTTAGCTCGAACCTGTATATTTTTGGTATTGCATTATGAGACTCTGGACCTTATTTAAATTTTCTGTTTTAACTGGCCTTTCTGAAAGGACATAGGCAAGGAGGAAGGGGGCACTCCCTTCTTACTGACAGATGTGGGTAATAGTCTAGGTTCCCTCCTTGGCCTTCTTTGACAAACAGTAGGAGGGGCTCTTCATTACTGCTGGGCAGAAGTAGGTATTTCTGGCTCTCTGCAAGGCCTCCATTGATACCTTACTGGCTGGGAGGGCCAGGGGTGCCTCATTACTACTCTCCACACAGCCTCCACTGACTCTACATGGAAAAATAGAGGGATAGCCATACTATCCAAGACCACTGGGTAATGGCAAAAGTTCTGACATTCCATTAGACTTCATCTGATACCACCCCAGCAGAGAGGAGGAGGGACACTTCTTTACCACCAGATGGATGTAGAAGTCCAAGCTTCCTATATGGTCTTTACTGACAGGTTTGGAGGGAGGTGAGGTCTTGTTACCCACTGCCAGGGAAGATGCTCCTAAGATGTCCCAGACTTGACAGGTTCATTTTCTGCCCAGACCTGGAGTCAGTCATCTCTCCAAGGAGCCCTTGTTCCTTTTAGTATGATATGGCATTTACAGATCACAGTCTGGACCACTGGATTGTGACTTTCTAGGTCTTTTTAATCAAAAGAATTAGAAAATGTGATTTTTAAGAGTGAGAAAAAAATCACAATGCACAATCATGTTTCAAATTCCAATTTAAGATGATAGGATTTTATCTAAATTCTTTAATAATATATTTTTTCTTCTTTCTCTTGAAAATCATGGCTATAAACTTACTTATCAATTTATCTTATAAAATATACATTTGGCCAGGTACAGTGGCACACACCTGTAATCCCAGCACTTTGGGAGGCCAAGGCAGGAGGATTGCTTTAGCTCAAGAGGTTGAGCCAAGCCTGGGCAACGTAGCAAACCCCTATCTACAAAATAATAATAATAATAATAATTTAGCTGGACATGGTGGCACATGCCTGTAGTTCCAACTACTTGAGACGCTGAGGTGGGAGTTCCACTTGAGCCTGGGAGGTGGAGGCTGCAGTAAACCAAGATCATACCACTGCACTCCAGCCTGGGTGACAGAGTGAGACCCTGTCTCAAAATAAACAAAATTTTTAAAAAATCAAATTAATAAAATAGCTTCAAAATAGTGATATCAATATTCCTACTAACCATATTAATAATAGGACTACTGAGTCCTTTTATCCACAAGTATGGTGAGGCCTCTGTGCTGTGTTTCAGCTGCTCCCCCAGATCCACATTTCATGCTCCCCACCCTAATGCACTACCTTGAGCTACACCTTTGTCTGATAACCTTAGTGCCCTACTCTTTGAAACTGCCTCTTAATTCCCTCCTATGAGCAATATTGAAATTAGCTAGTAATATCTTTTTCCCTCTCCCCTTTCCATCCTCTAATTTAAAATGGCATTCTTTTATTTCCAGCGAATACCAACTAGGTAGTCACTTCATGTATGCTTCCCCCATGTTTGCTACTTTTATTTTATCTATATTGTCAGAGCATATAGTAGTAAGATGTCAGGACTTAATTTCCATTATGGAGTCTTAGTTTTACACGTAGACATAATCAATGCCCATCATCAATCCTTATAATGAAGCTTCTCCAATCACTTCTAGGATATATACAGTTCATTCTCTGGTGGATTTCTCAGGAAGGGCTCATGGGAATGATATTCTCTGAGTATTCGAACATTTGTAACCATTTATCTGTCACTTTTGAAGATCTGATACAATATTCTTGGCTTACATTTTCTTAATTTGGCTATTGTAAATGTTTGCCCCATTGTTTCCTCATAAGGTATTGCTGTTCATGAAGCCCAATGCTATATTAGTTATCTTTTGCTGCATAACAAATTAGCCCCAAGCTTAGCAACTTGAAACAATAAACACTTGAGCTCTGCCAAGATGGCTGAATAGGAACAGCTCCAGAGCACAGATCCCAGCAAGAGCAATGCAGAGTGCGAGTGATCACCGTATTTCCAAGCAAAGTACCAGGTGCATCTCAATGGGACTGGTTGGAAAGTGGGTGTAGCCCAAGGAGTGTGAGCCAAGGCAGGGTGGGGCGCTGCCTCACCCAGGAAGTGCAGTGAACTCGAGGACCCCCATCCCCCACCCAACGGAGGTGACCAGGGGCTTTTTCAGCCACCGGGTACTCCCGTTTAGATACTGTGCTTCTCCCATGGTCTTTATGGCCCACAGATGAGGAGAGTCCTGCCAGCTGACAAGTGCTGTGGGTTTCCAGCACAAAAACCTGCACAAATCTGGGTGACAGAGTGAGACCCTGTCTCAAACAAAATTAAAAAAAAAAAAACAAATTAACAAAATAGCTTCAAAATAGTGATATCAATAACTGATGCCTGGAACACCTATGAGACAGAGATGCACATTCCCCTGAAAAAGATGGTAGGGAGCCAGGTGATCTGGCTCAGCAGGTCCCACACCCACAAAGACCAGGAATCTGAAACACACTGGCTTGAGAGTTTTGCAGCCAACACAGCAGTTTGAGCGCGACCTGGACAATTGAGCTCTGAGCGGGGGAAGGGCATCTGCCATTACTGAGGCAGCCCACCATTACCAAGACAGTACTGACCTTACCAGTGTAAACAAAACCACAAGAAAGTTCACACAGCAGCTAGACAGAGCCCGTGCAGCTCATCAACACCTCTGCAGGTAGACTGTGACTAGACTCCCTCCTTGCCGGGCAGGGCATCTCTGAAAAAAGGCAGCAGCATGGAAGGGACTTATAAATAAAGCCCCACCTTCCCAGGACAGAGCACCTGGGAAAAGAGGTGGTTGTAAGTTCTGCTACAGCAGACTTAAACATCCCTGCCGAGCAGCTTTGAATGGAACAACGGAGCTCCCAGCACAGCACTCGAGCTCTGATTAGGGACAGACTGCCTCCTCAAGTGGCTCCCTGACCCCTGTATATCCAAAGAGGCACCTGATAAAGGAGAGCTCTGGTTGACGTCTGGCAGGTACCCTTCTGGGACAAAGATAGCAGAAGAAGGATTAGGCAGCAACCCTTACAGTTCTGCAGCCTCTGCAGGTGATTCCCAGGCAAGCAGTGTCTGGAGTGAACCTCCAGCAGTCCTGCAGCAGAGGGGCCTGACTGTTCAAAGGAAAACTAAAAAACAGAAAGAAATAGCTTCAACATCAACAGAAAGGACATCCATTCAGAGACCTCATCCGAAAGTCACCAACTTCAAAGACCAGAGGTAGATAAATCCAGGAAGATGGGAAGAAACCAGTGCAAAAGTATGAAATCACCAAAAACCAGAATGCCTCTCCTCTTCCAAGGGATCACAACTCCTTGCCAGCAAGGGAACAAAACTAGATGGAGAATGAGTTTGATGAATTGATAGAAGCAGGCTTCAGAAGGTAGGTAATAAGAAAACTACTACAAGCTAAAGGAACATGTTCTAACCCAATGCAAAGAAACTAAGAACCTTGAAAAAAGGTTTGACAAAATGCTAAGTAGAATAACCACCTTAGAGAAGAACATAAATGACTTGAGGAGCTGAAAAACACAGCACAAGAACTTCATGAGGCATACACAAGTTTCAATAGCTGAATCGATCACGTTGAAGAAAGACTATCAGAGATTGAAGACCAACTCAATGAAATAAAATGAGAAGGCAGTATCAGAGAAAAAAAATTGAAAATAAATGAACAAAGCCTCCGAGAAATATGGGATTATGTGAAAAGACCTAATCTATGTTTGATTGGTGTACCTGAATGTGATAGGGAGAATATTTCCAAGCTGGAAAACACTCTTCAGGATATTATCCAGGAGAACTTCCCCAACCTAACAAGGCAGGCCAACATTCAAATGCAGGAAATACAGAGAGTACCACAAAGATATTCCTCAAGAAGAGCAATCCCACGGCACATAATCGTCAGATTCACCAGGGTTGAAGTGAAAGAAAAAATGCCAAGTGCAGCCAGAGAGAAAGGTCAGGTTACCCAAAAAGAGAAGCCCATTAGACTCACAGTGGATCTCTCAGCAGAAACCCTTCAAGCCAGAAGAGACTGGGGGCCAATATTCAACATCCTTAAAGAAAAGAACTTTCAACCCAGAATTTCATATCCAGCCAAACTAAGCTTCATAAGTGAAGGAGAAATAAAACCCTTTAGAGACAAGCAATTGCTGAGAGATTTTGTCAACATCAGGCCTGCCTTGTAAGAGCTCCTGAAGGAAGCACTAAACATGGAAAGAACAACCTGGACCAGCCACTGCAAAAATGTACCAAATGGTAAAGACCATCGACACAATGAAAAAACTGCATCAACTAACAGGTAAAACAACCAGCCAGTATCAAAATGGCAGGAACAAATTCACACATAACAGTATTAACCTTAAATGTGAGTGGGCTAAATGCCCCAATCAAAAGACACAGACTGGAAAACTGGATAAAAAGTCAAGACCCTTCCATGCTCATGCTTAGGAGGAGTCAATATTGTGAAAATGGCCATACTGCTCAAAGTAATTTATACATTGAGTGCTATCCCCATCAAGCTACCATTGACCTTCTTTATAGAACTGGAAAAAAACCACCTTAAACTTCATATCGAACCAAAAGAGAGTCCGCATAGCCAAGACAATTCTAAGCAAAAAGTACAAAGCTGGAGGCATCACGCTACCTGACTTCAAACTATACTACAAAGCTACAGTAATCAAAACAGCATGGTGCTGGTACCAAAACAGAGATATAGACCAATGGAACAGAATGGAGGCCTCAGAAGCAACACCACACTTCTACAACCATCTGATCTTTGACAAACCAGATAAAAACAAGCAGCGGGGAAGGATTCCCTGTTTAATAAATGGTGTTGGGAAAACTGGCTAGCCATGTGCAGAAAGCTGAAACTAGACCCCTTCCTTACACTTTATACAAAAATTAACTCCAGATGGATTAAAGATTTAAACATAAGACCTAACACCATAAAAACCCTAGAAGAAAACCTAGGCAATACCATTCAGGACGTAGACATAGGCAAAGACTTCATGACTAAAACACCAAAAGCAATGGCAACAAACGCCAAAATAGACAAATGGGATCTAATTAAACTTAAGAGCTTCTGCACAGCAAAAGAAACAATTGTTAGAGTGAACTGGCAACCAACAGAATGGGAAAAAATTTTTGCAATCTACCCATTTGACAAAGGGCTAATGTCCACAATCTACGAAGAACTAAAACAAATATACAAGGAAAAAAACAACCCCATCAAAAAGTGGGTGAAAGAGATAAACAGACATTTTTCAAAAGAAGACATTTATGTGGCCCACAAACATATGAAAAAATGCTTATCATCACTAATCATTAGAGAAATGCAAATCAAAACTACATTGAGATACCATCTCATACTGGAGACATCAGATGCTGGAGAGGATGTGGAGAAATAATTTGGAACACTTTTATACTGTTGGTGGGAGTGTAAATTAGTTCAACCATTGTGGAAGACAGTGTGGCAATTCTTCAAGGATCTAGAAATAGAAATACTATTTGACCCAGCAATCCCATTACTGGGTATATACCCAAAGGATTATAAATCCATCTATTATAAGGACATATGCAAACGTATGTTCACTGTGGCACTGTTTACAATATCAAAGACCTGGAACCAACCCAAATGCCCATCAAAGATAGACTGCATAAAAAAAAAAAATGTGGCACATATACCCTGTGGAATACTATGCAGCCATAAAAAAGGATGAGTTCATGTCCTTTGCAGGGACATGGATGAATCTGGAAATCATCATTCTCAGCAAACTGACACAAGAACAGAAAACTAAGCACTGCATGTTCTCACTCATAAGTGGGTGTTGAACAATGAGAACACATGGACACAGGGAGGGAAGCATCACACATGGGTCTGTTGGGGGATAGGAGGCTAGGGGAGGGATAACATTAGAAGAAATACCTAATGTAGGTGACGGGAGGATGGAGGCAACAAACCACCATGGCACCTGTATACCTGTGCAACAATCCTGCAAAATCGGCACATATACCCAGAACTTAAAGTAAAAAATAAATAAATAAGATATAATAAAAGAAACACTGGTCATCTCGTGCTTTCTGTGAATAGAAAATTGGCTTAGCTGAGGTGGTTCTGCTTCCTCTGGACCCTTCTCCACTCAGTCTTTGAATCTTCTGTCTTCTTTACTTCCAGGGTTGGCAGCCTGCTTGGTTTGCAGTCTGCTCCCAGAAGTTTTTCTCAGAATGGTGATCTGCCCCTATAGAGGGAGTCTTCTCATTAGGAATGTATGAGATCCTCAGTGGCTTTTGTTGGCACAGCACCTTCCAGCGAGAGTCAGGCTCTGTGCAAAGCATAATCTAAGACTTGAGATTTGCACTTGGGAGGTTTCTCAGGGGCACTCTCAGGAACACATGTGAAGAACAGGACAGCAGATTTGGGCAGAGAGAGATGAACTGTGATGAGATGGCAACGAGGACTTCAGCTAATCACACAGGACACTCTGGAGCCGGGTTGGCCCTTTGGAGTTGCCCCAGTTGCTACAAGTTTGTCAGGCTTTTGTGCCCAACATCAACCAGTCTTTGGCATATTGCTTCCTTTGCCCACTGATTCTCTATGGTACCTCTATCCTTTATCACAGCTCCATAAATAAATGGGTCAGTTCTGAGCTCTCGCTTCTATTTCGTTGGTCAGTGTGTCTGTTCCAGCATCATTGCCATTCTATTACTACAGCTTCCTTATAAGGCTTGTTATCTGGTGGGGTAATACCCTTCTTTTATTTCTTTTCACTAATGCTTTAATTTTGCCCTTCCATGTAAATTTTAGAATGAGCTTACTGGCAGTGGTGTTCAAACGACTAAAAATGGGAATCCTAAAGATGGGTTACCTAACAAAGCAGATTTTTGAGACCAATAATTGAAGCTGTAGAAGAAGTAAATGCTTTTTAAAGCTTGATTATACTGCACCTTATAAATGCACACGCTAGGATTCCCAGATTCAGGAGAAAAAATACAGGCTGTTTAGTTAAATTTGAATTTCAGATAAATAACAAATATTTTTTAGTATGTATCAAATATTACACAGGACGTATTTATGCTAAAAAGTTATTCATTGTTCATTTTTTCCCTGGATCCTCTATTTATGAGACCACAACATTGCTTAGTGTAAAATCGTTAACCACAATATTAAGAATGGATGTGTCACTCATGGTAGATAATGGAGTTCTGTACTTTTGTCATGGGGCAAGATGGGAAAAGAATGCATATTGTTTTTAAAACAAGAAGAAAATTTATACCCACATGTGAAATGCCCAGACTGAAATGTATCAAAATAAAGATCATGTATCCCCACAGACTCAGAGCTCAGCCTTACTTCTGAGACCTCTCCAAAGGGCCCCATTCTTTGAAATCTAGAAAGTATCTGTACAAATCTCGGCCTCGGGCATGAGCAGGAGTTTTATAAAATCAGTGCACAGACTCACTTAGAGCTGCAGGGAGAGTTCTACCGAGACCAACAGGGTTCCTGTTCTCCCCTTGAGCAGATCTTGCGGAAGATGAAGGGCTATGATTCCTACAACACCCTGCTGCTGCCTCCCCGCAACCCGGGGGAGAAGCTGCCTCCAGAACTGTATGAGTACTTTAAGGATATGAAGAAGTCAAAAGAGGAGCAGATAAGGGTGAAATACCTGGAGAATCTGGCACAGGAGAATGGTGAGAACTTAACATGGAGAATCCCTGGCTCTAACCAATGCCTTCGCCCCTCTGAATTACCCCTGCTGTGGGACCAACCCATGTCTGAGTACCTGCCAGATGCCAGGCAGGTACTGCCTGCCTTGTGCATTTTATTTCTAATGCTTACAAAATGGGTCACATTATCCCCATTTTATGAATGCGGAGGCTGGAAAACATTCTGCTGTCACTGGAGCCCTATTGAGGTAGTATGACTTAGAAACAGCTGATATAGTTGGAAGAACACTTACTGGATGCCATGTTGAGGGCTTTGCCCATACAGATGAGAAACTGAAGCTCAGAGAGGCCAGGTCCACAGTTTAAGTGGCAGAATCAGGATTCCAGCCCAGGGCTTTCTGACTCCAGAGTCCATAATGGTAAACACTGCCTCCTATGGGTAGACCTTGGTAGTGCAAAGTAATGTGTCATTGTAGAAACTTGGTACCCTAAAAGCAGGGGGTGGGCATTCACACAAGCAAAAGGCCAGCCCCTCCATAGTCCTCAGGCCAAACTCCAATCACAGAGCTGTCATGTGGTCTCAGAATCATGCCCTTTCTGGCCCACCAGCCCTGAGTTATCCCATCATGTGCCCAGGGGCTCTTGTGTGCTTGCCCATAAAGGTTCCTTGTTGACTTGTGGGACTCTGTGGCTTATGAGGATACATCATCTCCTTCCTGATTCTCTGTAACCTCACCTTGGAAATGTGCCTACCTTGTTCTTCCTTGCTCTCTTCTGTGTAGCAGTCATACATGCAATTAGTTTCTTCACACTGCCTCTACCACTAGCCAAGAAGTCCCAGAAAGGCATTGATCACATATTCCCCACAGTAAAACCAGTGGATGGAACAGCAGTTGACCCAATAGTACCCAATAAATAGGTGCTGTGTGAGTGAATGCATTCATGGATTGAATGGAGTTCTTTGTCCTGCCCTTGGGTCTATCTCGTTGTAGGAAAGAGAAGCTAGTCAGAGACATTAATTTGGCTTAAAAGGAGAAGATGAGAGAAGGCAGCTGCCACCCACCCAGTCTCCTAGTTGCGTTCCTTGAGTTTGCTAGGGCTGCCATCACAAATACCACAGACTGGGTGGCCTAACCAACAGAAGTTTCTTTTCTCCCAGATCTGGAGGCTAGAAGTCCAAGGCTGGGTATTAGCAGGGTTGCGTTCTTCTGAATCCCGTCTTACAGTTGGCTGTCTCCTCACTGTGTCTTCATATGGTCTTCCTTCTGTGTGTGTCTGCGTCCCAATCTCCTCTCCTCATAAGGACGCCAGTCCTACTGGTTAGGACTACCCATGTGACCTCATCTTACCTTAATTACCTTTTTAAAGGCCCTATCTCCAAATACAGTCATTCTGAGATTCTGGGGGTTAGGACTTCCACATATGAATTAGGATGGAACACAATTAAGCCCGTCACCAGGACCCATTGTGTTGCAAGCACTAAGCTGAAGTGGTGGGGGGAAAATCAGTAAAAAAAGTGCTGGGGAAAAAATCAGAAAAGGCAATGAATCCCTGCCTTTGAGAGCCACAGTCATGAAGAAAGTGGGAGGAGAGACACCCCATCAGAGGGACTGCCTAGCAGCCCAAGGCAGGGGTGGCAAGAGCTGCAATGCACAAAGGACCTCGCAAGGGCAGAGAAGGCCTTGGTGCTCCCCTCATCCTTACACACCACAATTGTCGGCTCATTTATCCATTTGGCCCAATGGACAGTGTTCTAAGCCAGGATCAGTGGGTGCAGAGGGAACTCAGGAAGCCACACGCCCTGCTTCTCACCAGAACCTCTCTGATGAGCTTGTCTACTCCCTCTGCTCTCATGCTATAGATCATCCTCCTCTGCTTCCCTTCCTTCCAGGGACAGCCCACAGCCCCAAGTCAAAAGGCCACCATTCCTGAGAGAGCTTCAACCCCTCAGGCTTAATTTCTACCTTGAGTGACACAGAGAATGTCTTGCCCTGTAGTAGAGGGTGGTCACTTCATGCGGTCAGAGCCCATTGCACCCTGAAGTGCTATAGAATAATGGGCAATCAATGAGGAAGGTGTTGGGCTAACAAAATGGTAGCTGTCCCTACCATTGACACAGGAAGTGTTCATGGTAAATTAAAGGGGAAAGCAGGCTACATGTCAGTGTGTGCAATATGACCCCACGCTTAGTTTCAGACAGTTAAAAATCTGAGGTTGCAGCTCTCCCATGCTGGCGTGGTAACATTTATACAACTTCTCTGTTGCCATTTCTTTGTCTATCTCCACCTCTTTTTGTAGCTGAATTCTATCACTTTTGGCTCTTCTGAGTTTTCCCCATTTTCTAAGCAAATGCATAATTTTGGTTCCTAAATAAATGTTAAAATGTAGAAACACTATGCACAGAGAAACCGAGGAATAGCCGACTGACTGCAGCTCTTGTTTATTTGGGTTGAATGGTCCAGGGTGATGAAAGCCAGTATGGTGAGTCTCCTCTTCATCTTTTTTTTTTTAACCTTTTCTGTCCCCATCTCCCTTGCGCCCCTCCCAACTCTTCCCCTTGTGTTCTCATCCTTTGCTCCCTGGCAGAAGAAGAAGACATGCTCACATCAGATCAGGGAACCTCCTCTAGCACGAAGAGGTCATCGCTGAGCCAAGGGATCTCTGCCACGTCCAACTTGGAAGAGCAGCAGGGCCTGTTGATCGAGTCCAGAACCTATCCAGAGGAAGAGGAGGATGAGGACAGTGTGGAAAACATCATGTTCCAAAGTAACCGAGCATTTTAATGTTTTGATACTCGTTCTCTCCAAGCAGAAGTCGGAAGGCAATATTCAGTACCTTGTCACTTTCTCCAAGCCTCCTGGTGTGGCTCCCAGCCCGTGCTGCCCTGCCTCCCACAGCTGCCCTGTGGGGAAGCGCTGATCTGCCGCTCACCCTAGGATATGAGCTTGGGAGTCGGATGATGAGTCTAGCATACAGCATCTTCTTGCCACGGTTATTTGTGTTTCAACTAGACTCAGTGGAAGCCTGAACCTTTCATGCTAAGATTCTGGCAGACTGGGAGGTGTTTAGAGAAACATTATGGGGGTAGGGACATTCTTCCCAGTGTCCCCCACAATGGGACTATTAGAGAGCTCTCTCCTCGACCTCCCGGCATTATGGGCCCATTTTCTGCCATTTATTTTCTCCAAGTTTTACAAGATGTTGGAACTGTATTTAGAAAATTGGATTTACTACAACTGAGTTCATAAGGGCCATTTGTTTGCTGGTCATTGTGAATCATGATAAGCATAAGCAGCTCGTCATGTGCTTACCCCCAGAATAGGAATCACGGGCGAGGCTCGGGAGCTCTTTAAGGAGTTAAGTTGTCATTTGTAGCCCTCATCAACCAGGTGAGTAAATTAAGTCAGGAGCATGTAATGGTAAAACTAAGATTAAAGACAGAAATTCCTGGCTCCATGCCCCATATTTAATCCACCCTGGCTATACTGGCAAACCCCCAGGTGGCTCTTGGTCTCTCCCAGCAGCCCTTCCCACCCCATACACCCTGACTCTGCTCCCCATGCCTGAGCTCTTCCAGGGCTGACCCTGGACACCCCCAGAGAGAAGAAAGCACACCGTAGTGCTTAGGATGAAAACCATCTAAATGCCCATCAGTAGGGAACTAGTGAAACTGCGACAGAACCATACAGTGGGAGTTATTTAGCAGCTATTTAAAAAGAATGAGCTAGACTTGTATTTAAGTAAATGGAAAGATGTCCAAGATGTATTATGTGAAATCAAGTTACAGAACAAAATTCAGAGTGTCATCCTACCTTTCTTATTAAAACACTGAATGTATTTGGGATGACTGTATGTAGCTGGCTATGTACTACCCTATAAGCTATTACACATATGATCCTGCAGCTTGCTTTTTTCTATTAGGAACGTTCCTCTAGGCCAATACATTTGATAAATCAAGGCTTGGCAAACTTTTCCCATTAAAGGCCAGACAGTAAATATTTTGGGCTTCGAAGGCCGTACGGTCCCTGCTGAAACTACTCAACCCTGCCCTTGCAGAGTGGCTGTGATGACAAAGACACTATGTGATCAAAGGATGTGACTGTGTTCCAGTACGACTTTATTTACAAAAACAAGCAGCAGGACAGATTTGCTTATTAAAACACTGAATGTATTTGGGATGACTGACATCAGAAATCACCTGCACTGGCAAACAGTCTTATTTGTATAGACTAGTTGACTAGTCCCTGGTATCGAAGTCATCATTTTAATAGCTGCTGTCTGTTGATTCTGTAATATAAATATGCCACCATTTGTTCAGCCATTTCCTTTAATGCTGCAAATTTCACCAGTTTCTAATATGTTGCCACTGTAAGCCATCCTCCTCTCCACACAAATGCCCTTTCTACTTTTCAGCAAGAGAGATTCTCTAAAACAGAAGTAGAGTCAAAAAATCTGTTTCTTTCATTTTAGTAGCTATAAACAAATCATTAGCTGTAAATTTTATTAGGTATAAAGAAATTATTAGCCCAAAAGGGCGTTGTCTTACACTACAAGTTGGGACTGCTGCAATGTTTGCCATTTAAAAGAACAGCATTTAAAAAGAAATATTCATTCCCATTTCCATCAGTGACCGTGTAAATTCTGGCTGTGTAGCCATGCATGCCCATGTGTGCACACACATATATTTTTAATTTACAGCTGACAAGATTCAGAGCATTGACAACCACCCCATGGAGGAAGTTGGAGAGGTAGAAAACAACCCAGTGAGCAAAGCAATTGCTCGCCACCTGGGTATTGACATTTCTGCAGAAGGTCGCCTGGCTAAGAACCGGAAAGGCATTGCCATTATCATCCATGGGACACCCTTGTCAGGTACGCAGTAATTCTGAGGGGTGGTTAAGACCAGTGATGCCATGTCTTCTCTGTAAACTCTGCGGCTTCCAGGGTGGCAACATCAGCTGTGTGGTTATGGCAAATACTAATGGCTTTATTTGAAGAACAACATAGGATAGTGATTACACATTTATAGCTGTGTGCCTTTGGGAGAATTCACTAAGTTTCCCGTGATCAGTCTTCCTGCCTGGAAAGTGGTATTGACACTATCCACTTTACAGGATAGTCATGAGAATTTAATATAACATCTATCTATAGATATATTGACACTATCTATTTTACAGGATAGTTATGAGAACATTTATAAAAAATACTTATCTCAATACTTGGCACATAGTAAATTCTCAAACATAAAGGTGTTGGTATTATTGTTATTACTGTGATGACTATTCTCATTCACAATTATAACCATATCTGCAGTGTGAATCCTCATTGAAAAGAAGCTCCCATCACATGCTAAATATTCTCGAGGAATATTTTTCCTAACCATAAACCAGTCAAGGGGTGAGCCCTTGATTAAGAAAAAAATATATTCTTTAATAAGAATCCTTTATTACCTTGAAAATTACACATGCTAACTTCACCATAAACCCAAAGGAGCAAAATCACCTGCATTGGAAAGAACTCTTATTTGTATAGTAATTCACAGTTTACAGGGCTCCTTCCCATCCATCTGTCTAGTTAAACTTCATAATCACTCAGAAAAGAGAATTTGATATCCCCTACCTCATAGGAAGCTAAGATTTAGAGAAACTCAAGGACATCTGCCCAAGGTCACCCAGTTAGAAAGTGGCAGAGCAGAGGGATATTCGGAGGATGCCCTGCCACCTCTCTTAGCTTCGGCTCACTTGACGAAAGGCCATGAAATCTTGTTCTGACCCAATTACTATCACTCATACTATCACCTCTCTTAACTTCGGCTCACTTGACGGAGGGCCATGAAATCTTGTTCTGACCCAATTACTATCACTCATACAGACAACATTTACGGAGCATTTTTGAAGTTCTAATCACCGAGAGACTTAGGAATCTAAAAATGTCACCATTCATTACCCCTTCCTCTGAAGAACGTTTCCTTGAGGAGTTATAAACCAGGACCTGAAAAGTAGAAGTCTAGATCAGGTGGAAATCAAACAAGGCAAGTAAGAACATAACTGGAAATGTTTTCAAGATCTCCCCCCCCCCCCGCCCACACACACACACCACTTTCGGCCTCATGCCATTTTTGTGTGGCACTAAAAGGAATGCCGGAAAGATGGTTTATGGACCCATAAACTGCAGACGGCTGGAGAGTTAACACCAAAAATGCACTGACCTGGAAAGAGCCCCAGCCGTGTTCTAGCGGAGGGCTCAGTCACTTTCCATCTGCGGGTGAAAAGCCTATGAGAGTGTGAACTACAGTAATAACAAGGCTGGCATTTTTATGGAGCTTTACAGCTTTCAAAGAATCTTCATGAACAGCTTAATAGTCATGTCAAAGTCAGGCTGATCGATGTAAGTTATTTTTGCCCCTTTTGTTTATGGTGAAGTTAGCACATACAACTTTTGAAGGCAGTAAGAGGCTCATTTGTTTATAATCTATATACTTAAGGATTATTCCCAAACTGGTAAATTGTTGACCTCAGAGAAGGGGTTGAAAAGGAGAGGGAAGACACCTCATTTGGAATGTACACATCTCTGAATGCTTTGAACTTGTATTCTTTCCATAATTAAAACAAATTATATATTAAAGAAAAAAATCCAAGACATTAAATTATTTAAAAAGAGAGAGAAATATATGTGCAGACTCTGACCTGGCAGCGCTACTTCTAAAACTTTCTTAGGAAAAATAATGATGTGGACAAGATGAACTGCCTGATTGTTCACTGCAGCACTGTATGCTGTCATAGAAACTTGAAAGCAATTGCAATTTTCAATATGGGGGACTGGTTAATGAGGCCACAGTAATTTACATAGTGAATTTTATTCCCATTAAAAATAGCATCTTGTACACCCAGGTTCACAGCAGCATTAGTCACAGTAGCCAAAAGGTAGAAACAACCCAAATGGCCATCAGTGGATGAATGGAAAAACAAAATATGGTATGATGTGATGCTATTCAGCCTTAAAAAGGAAGGAGGTTTTGACACATGCTACAACATGGATGAACCTTGAGGACCTTAGGCGAGGTGAAATAGGACAGTCCCAAAAGGATAAATACTGTATGATTTCACTTAGATGAGGTATCCAGACTGGTCAAATTCACAGAGATAGAAAGAGAAACAGAATGATGGTTTCCAAGGGACTGGAAGGGTGGTGAGTACCGGAGAATTATGGCTTAATGGGTACAGAGTTTCAGTTCAGGAAGATGACAGAGTTCTGGAGCCGGATGGTGGTGATGGGGCAGAGCAGTGTGAACGCACTTAGTGCCACTAAGCTATACATGTACAAATGATTTCAGTGATAACTGTTATGTATACTTTACCACAACAGAAACAGTGTCATATAAGTGTACTAAATGAATAGAAGGTTGTTCATGAGATATCATTTCACATGAGAAAGAGTGCCATAGTAGTTAGTGTTAGTGTCCCGTCGCTACTATAACAAGTGACCACAAACTTCATGGCTTCACAAATGCAAATTTACACTCTCATAGGTCCAGAGGTCAGAAGTCTAAAATGGGTCAGCAGGACTGTGTTCCTTCTTGGAGGATCTGGGGGACTATCTGTTTCCTTGTCCTTTCTAGCTTCTAGAAATGTCACCGGCATCCCTTGGTTCCTGGCTCCTTCCTCCTCCTTCCCAGCCATCAGCATAGCATCTGCCAGTCTCTCCTGCTGCTTCCATGGTCAATCACCTGCTCTGACTCTGACCCTCCTGTTCTCCTCTCATGGGGACCCACGTGATTAGATTGTGCCCAGTAGGATAATCCAGGCTAACCCCCCCATATCAAGATCTATAAATTAATCACATCTGCAAAGTCTCTTTTACCCTAGAAGGAAATATATTTGCAGGTTCCAGGAATTCGCATGTAGAAATCTTTGGGGGAGCCATTTTCAGCCTGCCACATAACCTGTTTCTTTTTTTATAAGAAATACAAATAACATAGTTGCCTGTGTACTTAGCAACCATAGGCTAACTGTACTATCCCCGAATGAGTGGATGGGTTTTCTTTCTTTTCTCTTGTCTGTTATTTCTGAATGTTCTGCTTTTTTTTTTTTAAATGAAAGTACTTTGAAATGACAAAACAAATCAACACAAGTTATTCCTTCAAACAAAAAAAGTCTTCCTATTAGAATCAGAGACAGGAAGAACTACAAAGTATTTTAAATATCGTCTGATAGAATCTGTTTCTTAAACAGGCTGGGTACAGTGGCTCACACCTGTAATCTCAGCACTTTGGGAGGCTGAGATGGGCGGATCACTTGAGGTTAGGAGTTTGAGCCCAGCCTGGCCAACGTGGTGAAACCACATCTCTACTAAAAATACAAAATTAGCTGGGCGTGGGGGTGCGTGCCTGTAATCCCAGCTAATTGAGAGGCTGAGGCAGGAGAATCACTTGAACTAGGAAGGTGAAGGTTGCTGTGAGCCAAGATTGCACCATGGCACTCTAGCCTGGGTGACAGAGCAAGACTCCATCTCAAAAAAAAAGAAAAAAAGAACCTTTTTTTAAAAAAAATTGTACTTGAAGCTTTGCGGTGTATGTGCTCATCCTGCAGGATTTTTGCTTAGGTACACATATGCTATGGTGCTTTGCTGTTTCCGTCCCCCGTCACCTACATCAGGCATTTCTCCTGGTGTTATCCCTTCCCAACACTCCACCCTCCACTGTCCCTCCCCTCCCCTGGCCCCCCACCTCCTGATCTACCCTAGTGTGAGATGTTCCCCTCCCTGTGTCCCTGTGTTCTCATTGTTCATCACCCACCTATGAGTGAGAACATGTGGTGTTTGGTTTTCTGTTCTTGTGTCAGTTTGCTGAGAATGATGGTTTCCAGATTCATCCATGTTCCTACAAAGAACATGAACTTGTCATTTTTTTATGGCTGCATAGTATTCCACGGTAACTGAGGTAAAACTCAGTGATGATGGAGGTTGCCACAGCACGTGTGCATCAGTGGCAAGGTTAGGATCAGACCCACGGCCCTGACTCCAGGCAGGGGTCTTCCTTCTCTTTGCTGCTGCTACCTCCAGCCACACGAGAAGGAGCCAGAGCACTCAGAGAGATCACTTCGCAGGGACCTCTGTTCTTAAGACCTCTTCTGTCTGGGACACTGAGCAAAAGAGCACCATGAAATTCAACGCCTTCGTCTTTTTGATAGGAAAGTCAGCCAGCGCTGTCAGCATGGCCAGGTACTACAATGCAGCCTGCCTGAGCATCGACTCCATCGTGCTGGAAGCCGTGTCTGACAGCAACAACCTCCCAGGGATCCGGGCCCGTGAGCTCTGCATCAGGGCTGCCATAGAGCAGTCCATGAAGGAAGGAGAGGAGGCTGGTAAGAGCCCATTCTCCCCGGCTTTTTGTGGTCAAGTCACCAGCACCCCCACTGGCAACACCCATCTTCTCTGTGCCCCACTGAGCTCTCCTCCCACAGCCTGGTTGAAGGCTGCCCTACAGCATGCTGCCAACTTCATAGCCCAGAGGAGGATTCTCCTCATGAAGCACCTGGGTGTCCTGCCCTGCCCAGTGTCGGCGTGCTCTTGCCACTGTAGGGACCAGGACAATGAATAAGACACAGCCCACACCTTTGGAAGTCTGACAACTGGTGGGGAAGCAGGGATGGGGTCACTCAGAGCAGAGGAAAATAATGTTGCAACAGAAATACAAGCTCCTGTGAAAGAGCAAGTTTGGGATGAATGGGTTCCAACAAGGGTGATTTGGGAGGTTTTCAAGAAAACGGGTTTGAAGAAGCAAGAGAATGTTAGTAGGCAAAGATGGGGACAAGAACATTCCAGACCAAGAAAGCAGGGAAGCTGATCCTAAATTGGGGATGGGAAGGCAGGTTGAGGCCAATCAATGTTGACCTTGAATGCCAAGATTAGGAATTTTAGTTTTATGTTAACAGAAAAGAGCCATTGGGACAGTTTTTACACTCTGGAGAAATGGACGGAAAATCACAATAGAAAGGTGGCTCTTGAATATCATGTGAAGAGAGCAATAGTGAAGCTGCAGACAAATGGGCCCACGTCAGCCAACCTGACAGCCACCTGCATGGTGGAGAATTGAAGAAGTGAGAGGCATTCAAGATGACCATGCCCAGATTCCCAGAAACCAGGAGAGAAACCAGGAGAGAGTGATGTCATTTATCTAGATGGGGAACACAGAAGGAAGAGAAAGTTTACTGGAGAGGAAAATGAATTGTTTTGGGTTTGAGGGAGAGAGGGTGTTGGGGTTGTTTTCTTTCTTTCTTTCTTTCTTTCCTTCGTTCCTTCCTTCTTTTTTTATTTTTTGAGACAGGGTCTCTCTCTGTCACCCAAGCTGGTATACAGTGATGCTGTCATAGCTCACTGCAGCCTTCTGGGCTCAGATGGTCCTCCCACATCAGCCTCCTGAGTAGAGGGGATTACAGGCATGCACAACCATGCCCAGCTAATTTTTGTATTTTTAGAGTCTCACTATGTTGCCCAAGCTGGTCTCAAACTCCTAACCTCAAGCAGTCCTCCCAAAGTTCTGGGATTACAGGACTGAGCCACCATGCGTAGCCTGAATTGAGTTTTGGAATCCCAAGTGGGGAGGCCTGGTGTGGCCTTCTTACAAAAAGTTGAGGATTCGGGCTCCATCAGGCTATCTGAGGAACTTCAGGGCAGGCAAGCAGCTGCTCGATGGGAAAATATACTGAACACCAAGCAGAGCACCTGCTCAGAGCGGAAGCCTGCCTGTGTCAGTACCCATGGCCTGATGTAATCCCCAAGAGTATTTCCAGCCTGCTAACTGATAAAACTGGCTGGGGCTTTCAGGGCTGTCCCCTCCCCTCAGTACCTCTGTGTGGGACACTTAAGGAAGTGGAAAATTCTTTGCTGGGAAGGTAAGAGAAATAGCTCTTTAGTGAGAACCTCTGGCTATGCCCTAATGCTGGTTCTCTTAATTTTTTTATTCCTTTTCTGTGAAATAATCTACATTTCATAGTGATCTGTAGAGCCAGGTTCATGTCCTGTGCCTAAGGGTGAATTTGAGCTCCTGGTCTGAGAAAGTAACATCAAGTTAGAGACAGAGCGGGAGAGTCTCTCTCCGTGAAGCCGCTAGGGTAAATGAAGCAGCCCAGAACAGCTCAGAATGAGCCAGGAGGAATGGACAAGGCGGATCAGGACCATGTGGAACACGTACATTTCAGGAGGAGTCATGGGGAAGCTGGGAGGCAGAGACAGCAGAGCCAGGGTCACAGGGACTGTCAGGGAAGTCGAGGAAAGGCCCTGAAGCCTTAGGAAAGGGAGAAGAGAGGAGGAGTTTCACGCCTCTCAGAGCCCTGCTGAAGGGCGAGCCTTCCTGCTAGCCTGTTCTCACAGCCACGTGTCTAGCTAACCTAACACTGACTTACTTCCTTCATTGTCCACCCTCACCCCATGTAAGCTCTGGAGGCAGAGGCTTGTGTTCGTTTTCCCCAGTGTTGTCCCAGCACCTGGAAGAATCCCTGACCCATAATAAAGATTCATAAAGGATTCATTGAATCAATAAATGAACAGAATTAGAGACTGCTGGAAGCCCAAATAGAATGAGCCCTGAGTAGAGACCACCTGAATTTCTCAGTCGGGAGGTCCCTGGTGTCTTTGGAGAGAGCCCTTGCAGTCGGGGGGTTAGGCCCTAATATCTCCCCTGCATCTGCTGCATGGTGGAGTCAGTAGGCTGGAGTGAAGGGGCAGCCATGAACCCTAACCTGCCTGTGCCGTACAGTAGCCACTGGCCCTGGGGGCTGCTGAACATGTGAACCAGGCTGGTCCAAACCAAGGTGTGTGGTGAGTGTACAGCACTCATGGGAACCCTGAAGATGTGATATGAAGAAAAGACTTGGAAATAACACAGTAGCAATTTTTACACATTACATGTTAAAATGATCACATTTTGAAAATATTGGGTTAAATAAAATATGTCCCTAAATTAATTTTACCTTTTTAATGTGGCTACTAGAAATATTTAAATTACATACATATATGACTCACATTATATGTCTGTTGAACAGAGCAGACTTCAGGGTACCATCCCCACTGTCATTTTTTGTATGTGTGATTCTAAAGTGACTTAATAAAAATCTCATCCTCTCCTTACTGTAGCCCAGGAGGCTGCTGTGGGTCAAAATGCCGTGGGGCAAAGACAACTGAGCAGTGAGATCTTGGGCAGGTTGACCTCAGAGATGGCTCTGGTGGCCCCGGAAATTAAACCTGGAAAGAGCGTTCGTGGGAGCTTGGTAAACTCCAAAAGCAAGGTGGATAGCCATGGCTCCGGGTCGCAGAAGCAGCATCACCTGCAGCAGTCCGAAACATCACAGGTACCAATCAGGGCTCTCCAGCAGGAGGGCTAGCATCTTCCTCCTCCCCAGCATCCTGCAGCCAGGTCAGTGCTCTTCATCCCTCCATTGGTCTCACCAGACTGGCCTGAGCGCCATCCCTCCACCCCTCATTCTGAAAGGGATGTTCACCCAGCCCATGCTCAGCTAGCATCTTTTATGCTGTAGCCACTGGTGAAGTGCAAATAAAGAAAGCAGAATCCCTGCACTAAGAGTCTGATGAAGGAGATAACCACATTTGCAATGAAATTAGCAACAAAAGAAGCATGAAAAAGGAATGAGGCTGTGCCACAGAAAATTGCCAAAATTCAATCCTTTTAGAACTCCATAATAGCAATTTCCTATGGCTCAACCTAATTCTAAAGGAGTGTTAAGGATACAACCATTAATCTAAGTTACAGGAGGGCTGCAGGGCGAGTCTTGGAAAGTCAGAAAGAAGTCGCAGCATTTGAGCAATGTGCCAAGGAACTTAGCAATCTCAGCCGACTGGCAGATGCTGCTGAAGCCAGAGACTGTGGGTGCAGTGAGTAATGAGTTGTAGGTGGAGAAGTGAAATCAGGTGAGTGTAGGCTTTTATGATGTTTGAAAGTGAAGGGAAAAAATGAGAGAGTAGTAGAGGGGCAAAGCCAGGGTCAGCAGAGTCCATTCTCAAAAAGGAAGTAGAAGCAGAAGCAGGTCTATGAAGCATCGAGCCCCTGGAGAGGTGCCATGTGGCAATCCACTCAAGAGGGAATGAGATCCTGGGAGGCAGTAGGAAGAGCAAAATTCAGTACAATTAAAGGAGAAGAGAGCTGGCTTCCTTCAGGGTTAGTAAAGGTAAAAAAAAAAAAAAAAAAAAACCAGACACAGCTAAAGGTGAAAGAAGCCAAATGGAGAATGGATATTGGAGAAGATCTTCCTGAATGTGGTGCTATCATGCATGCAGGAGGCATGGTCTTTTGAGGGAAGCAACAAGGAGGCTGGGGCTACAAAGCATGCTTGTGGGGCTACAAAGCATGCTTGATGGGAGTGGTAGGGTACTGGTGTCCCCACTATGGTGAATAGAAGCAGAAATTGGTGATGGACAAGGAATAAATAGTTGAGAAAGATCATGGCCCAACAAGACTGGAAACTATACAGTTGTGAAATCTCTCTCTCTCTCTCTCTCTCTCTCTCTCTCTCTCTCTCTCTCTCTCTCTCTCTCTCTCTCTCTCTCTCTTTCCCTCTCTCTTTCTCTTTCCCTCTCTCTTTTTCCTTAGACTCAGGGTCTCACTCTGTCACTCAGGCTGGAGTTCAGTGGCATGATCTTTGTTCACTGCAGCCTTGAACTCCTGGGCTCAAGCAATCCTCCCACCTCAGCCTCCCAAATAGCTGGGACTACAGGCATGTCCTACCACGCCTGGCTAATTTCTTAAATTTTTGTAGGGATGGGATCTCACTATGTTGCCCAGGCTGGCCTTGAACTTCTGGCCTCAAGAAATCCTTCTGGCTCTGCCTCCCAAAGCACTAGGATTACAGTCATGAACCACCATGCCTAGCAAGATTTCTCTAAGTGGACCTGGCAGCTCCCATTTAGGAGTGGAGAGAGAAGAATGTCATCATTGAGGAGAGGGTGTGTGCTCAGAACTAGGGGCAAGAGAGTTGAGGGTAGCATCATCTTCTCAGTAGAGAAGGAATTAAGAAGAGAACATAGAACAGGAGAAGCAGAAAGGGTTAAGGGTGAATCTCATTACAGCCTGAGTGTGCTGTAGGGACAGTGGGGGAGGTGGATGGAGCAGAAGTGAAAGTCCTGGTAGGAGAGGAGGCCCATGCACTGGGAGGAGCTGATGGATGGAGAAGAATTATAGGTCCTCAAGAGAAATGAGATCTGTTAATTGGATAGAGCACGTGGGTGGAATAAAGATGTAGGTCCCTAGGTGGGGTGTAGTGGCGCACACCTGTACTCCCAGCACTTTGGGAGGCTGAGACAGACAGAGCAGTTGAGACTAGAAGTTCAAGACCAGCCTAGCCAACATGATCAAACCACATCTCTACTAAAAATAAAAATAAAAAATTAGCTGGGTGTAGTGGTGCATGCCTGTAATCCCAGCTACTCAAGGGGTTGAAGCATGAGAATCGCTTGAACACAGAAGGCAAAGGTTGCAGTGAGCAGAGATGGCACCATTGCACCGCAGCCTAGGCAACAGAGTAAGACTCCATCTATAAATGAATGAATGAATGATGTAGGTCCTTGTAGGAGAAGAGGCCCTAATGTTAGATCAGGCAAGGGGATGGAGCAGAGGCAAAGGTCTTCAAGGGAGGGAAGACCTGCAGATTGGATGGAGCAGCCCACAGGGCTGAACGTGAGCCAGGTGAAATCTGATTGTCACTCCATTTTATGGTCTTCTAACTATGAAAACGAAAACCATTGATTCATTTTCTTTTAGATCACTATCCTTTTCATCCTCTTTTCCAGGATCCAATATAGTGTTCTTTACCCAGATGTTTATGGATGAACTGAAACTCATTTCTCTGCTACCATATAGGGTGTTACAGAGAGTCATTTCCTTTGGTACTGCCTGTCCATCTGGACAGGCAAATAAAGCTTTTTAGAATTCTTCAAAGGCAGAACTTCCCAATTCTGACTCCAAACTCCTTTCAGTAAGGAAATGTAAAGATCACAGTAGAAATCAGAGCTGGCAGACCCCCACCTGTGGCTACCTCCACTGCCCAGTGTGACAGGACTCAAATGACCTAGACCACAGGGTCCCCCTGTCAAAGCACTTAGGCAGGAAAATGGCAATAAAGCATGAATTCTCCAGTGGCTGATATTTCAGTCATGTTGCAAATGGAAAGAAATGTGTAAATATATTATATACTGAAGATGTGTCCCATAAGGTCATTTATTTATAAATCTCCTTTATTCAGAAAAGCACCAGTTAGAAATCCTGATCTTTTGAATGTTATTTAATCCAAATATCCAAATGATATTTAATCCACACTCTTGCTTCTCAATTTCATGGCCTCCTCAGCTACTCACCTCTATGATCACACCCTAGACATTGTTCATCACTACCCATAAACTCCAAGATCTCTCTGTCATAGTCCTGCTTTCCAGCAGCCATCTTCTCACTTTCCAGATGACTAACTCTGGTAAGCAACTGGCCCCATCAGAACCTCCAGTCCTCATCCTCACTACCTACCACCCACCCCATGCCCTCCTTACCCAGTCTGGATGCCATGGTCCACCACCATAGCACCCCCTTGCAACTTCCCCTTCACCATACTCAAAAACAGAGCTTCAGCCCTGGCAAACCTAATCCTCCACCTACTCCATGCAGAGCAGCTGAGCATAGCTGGAGAAGATTCTCATCTCTCCTGAAGGATCTTAATTTAAATTTAGGACCACAGGTCTCCAGTGGACGCTTTGGTCCGGCCCAGCCCTCCATCTATTCAAGATGACTGTTTTATTGCTGTCATCACTCTGCTAGCCTCCAAAATACTTTTCTCTTCCTCATTGTCAGCTGATCATCTCTCTTCTGATTTCATGGAGAAAGCTGCAGCAATCAGAAGACAACGACCTTATCCTCTGGCCACCAAATCACCCAGCAGCCTCCATCCACACACCCGGCTGTGTCTTCCCAGCAGCTGAGTGTCTGCCCTGCAGGGACCAAGGGCTGATCCCTACACATGGGCACCCAGCCCCACCCCTTCTCTTACCCAAGGGCTAAATTCCTGCAATTGTCCCCTGTCTCCCATTATCCCCCTAGTCTGCTCCCATCCGCATCTATGCATGCTGTATTATTATTCCCATCCCTAAATGCTTTCCCATGACCCCATATCCCCATCCACCTATTACCTCCTCTCTCAGCTCCTCTCCTCTGCCGTTCCTCCAAACAACTGCTGCGTCGCCTGCCTCCTCATCCTCATGCCCACCCCCATCCTCTCTTTCACTACTTCCAGTGGGCCCTTTGTCCCCACCATTCACAGCTTCTCTGCTCAAGATCATTGATAGTCTTCACCTGGCCACATCCAGCGGTCAGTTTTGTCTTCATCTCACAGCTGATAACCCCCTCCTCTTGGAAACACTTTGTTCATGTGGCTTTTAGACACCACACTCTTCCACCTTTCCTTCTACCTCATTAGCAGCTCCTTCCTCTACTTCCCCAGCTTCTGGATCTCCAAATTTCTGGTTGTTGGAATAGCCCAGGACAAAGTCTTCTACTACTCTCCTTTTTGTTACCTACCTTGTCTTTGCAGGTGAGCTCACTCCGTTGCATTGCTTAAATATTTAAGTACTTTTGACATGCTTATGACTCTCAAAATTCTATCACCAGCCCTTCCCAAAAGTTCTATCACTAAACCTTCTATCATTAAAAACCTTCTATCACTAAAAATTCTATCACGAAAACTTCCCAAGTGCAAGTTTGTATATCCACATTCATTTTCAGTCTCTCTTGAAGGTCTTAGAGCCATCTCAAAATTTTTATGTCCAAAAAGGGATTCTTGCTTCCACTGCTCCCCCAAAACTGTTCTTCTCCCAGTCTTTCTTTTCTTAATAAATAATTTCACCATTTTCCAGGTTGCTAAGGTCAAAACTCAAGGAATCATTTTTGAATCTTCTTTTTTTTTATTATTACACTTTAAATTCTGGGGTACATGTGCAGAACGTGCAGGTTTGTTACAAAGGTATACACATGCCATAGTGGTTTGCTGCACCCATCACCCCGCCATCTACATTAGGTATTTCTCCTAATGGTATCCCTCCCATAGCTCCCTACCCGCCGACAGGCCCCAGGGTGATGCTCTCCTCCCTGTGTCCATGTGTTCTCATTGTTCAATGCCCACTTTTATGATCCATCCAAAGTCCTACTGGCCCTACTTCCAAAACGTATCCTGTATGAGCCACTTCTCAGCACCACCGTCCTCATGTCACTCCCCACCGCCATCCTCCTCTCTGTTGCTGTCATATTCTGCCTTGACCACAGTGACATCTTCCTGTTTCCACTCATGTCACCTCATGTGACAAGTAGAGTGGTCTTTTAAAATTAAAAATCAGGCCAGGCACAGTGGCTCATGCCTGTAATTCCAGCACTTTGGGAGACCAAAGCAGGCAGATCACCAGAGGCCAGGAGTTCGAGACCAGCATGGTCAACATGGCGAAAGCCTGTCTCTACTAAAAACATACAAAAATTAGCCAAACGCAGTGGCACACACCTGCAATTCCAGCTATTTGGGGGGCTAAGACAAGAGACTCACTTAAACCCGGGAGGCAGAGGATGTGGTGAGCTGAGATGGCACAGTTACACTCCAGCCTGAGCAACAGAGTGAGACTCCATCTCAAAAAATATATATATAAATGAAAATCAGATTATTTGTCTGTGAAACACACCAACTTCCCACAATACTTGGAGTAATATACAAAGAGCTTACCATGGCCTACAAGGCCCTCCATATTCTATGGTGTCTTTGACCTTAACCCTGACCATCTTCCCCATTGCTCACTCAGTTCCAGCCACACTGGGCTTCGTGTGCCCCCCAAATTCCTCAAGTACCCTTTTGTTGAAGGAGCTTGCTGTCTCCTCCCAGATAGGCTCTGCTCCCAAGATCTTTTCTCATTCTTTCACGTAACCCAGGTAATGTGAGTATCCTCTCTACATAGCCCAACCTGTCCTTCCCCAACCCTGTCATGTTCCTTATTCCCTCACCTGGCTATTTCCTTCCTAGCACTCAGCACTCTGAAATTATCTTGATTTGTGGAGGAAAGCAGCTGTTCCTGTCTCCTCCATTGGAATGCAAGGGCCCCGAGGGCAGCACCATTGACGACCTTGTTTGTAGTTGTATCCCCAGTACCTCAGCCTGCCCGGAGTGTGACAGGTGCTCAGTGAATAATTGTTGAATGAATGAAAACTGCGTGCAGTTCAGCACACACACAGTGTACCTTCCACGCTATTCCCACTTGAAACCTACAGCCATTCTTTAAGGAAGACAGGATACCTTCATTTTCTAATGCAGTTCTCCTTGGACAGATGAGGAAATGAGAGATCATATGATCTTCCCGAGGTCCTGTAGCTGGTAAGTGTAGGAGTTGTTGAGATACAAAGCCAGATTCTGACTTCTGATCTTTCTCCCACTCAATAGATTTCCTCCAGCCCTCTTCCGGGGCCCCCTCAGCACCGGCTCAGTGTCAGACCCAGTGTCGGAGGCGAGACGGGGCTGATGAGCTGTGCGCTCCCAGATGAACTTCTCACGCAGATCCTGGCAGAGCGGATACAGGTGAGTCCGTGTGGCCTGCACAGAGCTGCAGGGTTCAGCACTCAAACACCATCCCCACGCCCTGGGCAGAGGTTCTGGGCCATCGGCCGCCCACGGTGGTTCAGAAGGCAGTCATTTGCTTGTCTTTTGACAGCTCTTGTCACTCGCTGACCCTGGCCTAGTCTACAGCCTGAAGCCACTCACCTTCTTAAAGGACCAGAGAGCAGAAGACTACACACACATTTTTTTAATTACCAGAAACAGAGTGGTGTGTTAAAAATTCCAAATGTGGAGCTATGTTAACTGCTTCAGAAACATATTTTCAATGTTATTAAGTTCAAAAGAAGTAACTAGGAAATAGTGGCTAAAACATAACAACATCCTACATAAATATCTGTAAATGTGTATATTACACACACAGTAAAAACTCTGAAAATTCATGTTAACTGAGCTTATCTTTGGGTAGCAGGATTATAGAATTTTAGTCTTCTTTATACATTTCTCAATTATTTAACAATGACATACTGCTTTTAAAGTCGGAAAAACAATAACGCTGTTTCCAATTTTTAGTTTTTTTCCCACTGTTCTACAGTTAACAACAAGAAAATAAGGTCAGCAGGATTGAGGAGGGTATCACTTAAGCCGGTTTCTGCTCATGGCTTGCAGACATGTCTATACTGCTCACCAGGTGCCGGCTCTGGGTGTTTGCTTTCGTTTTTCATGTAGGGCCACAGTATTAATTGCACATTTACATATAACAAAATTAGACTTGAGGCTCCCAGAGGAGGGGGAATATCCCACCAGAGAGTTTTTTATGTTGAGATTTTCACTGCTACTTCATTAAAGGCACTATCACTCTCAACTGCTTTGAACAGTATGTTTCCATAAGTGTACCAGGGTTTTAGACACCCAGAGTAAAGACTGAGAAACACAGGTAAGGCCCCAAAGTAAGCCAGTGAGGCTGTGCTGCTCCAAGTGCTGGTCTCTGATGACACATGGAGCTTACACAGCTTCTTCCATCGCAAAGTCTTGCTACAAAGTTCAGCCACAGAGAAAGAATGATGTGGCTGTGGTACCTGTTCAGTTGCCAGCTGAATCAAATAGTGTGTTTAGTGGCACAGGTCATTTACATTATAACACAAGCTTCTTGTCTCATCAAAACCTAATGCTCATTCACTGGTGGCCAGACTATGGGCTACACTTTGAGTAACACTGAGTAAGGCAGAGGCTGTTCTTCAGTGGTTACTGTTACCAAAATCATTATACTCCAAGGCAGTAAGACCACTAAGAAAAATACAGAAAGCCCATCACTGGTGCCCCTGCTGCCGGCAACTGTGCTGGGGAACATCTTTCCCTTTTCATCTCATTTTTGCATACCTCATGGATCTTCCCAGACTGGCCCTTTGACATTTTTGTATGTTCATTTATTTCTACAGACAGAATAAATCCTTTACTCTACAGATATATACAATAAAGACCATCTGCCTGGGCGTGGTGGCTTACACCTGTAATCCCTACACTGGGAGGCCAAGGCAAACGGATCGTCTGAGATTAGGAATTCGAGACCAACCTGGCCAACATGGTGAAACCCCATCTCTACTAAAAATAGAAAAATTAGCTGGGCATGGTGGCAGGTGCCTGTAATCTCAGCTACTCTGGAAGCTGAGGCAGGAGAATCACCTGAATCCAAGAAGTAGAGGTTGCAATGAGCCCAGATTGCACCATTGCGTGACAGCCTCAGCACTGGAGTGACAGAGCAAGACTCCATTTAAAAAAAAAAAAACGACCAAGGCTGATTAAACACTCTGATCCTTCCCTTTTATTTTATAACAACACCTTGGATTTAGCAAGCAGAAAGGCATGATGTTTGCATTGGGGCCCAGTAGGTCTGCAGAACCTTTTGCAATCCGAGTCAAAGCAGAAACAGAACAAATGAGGTTGTGGCCATGGTAACTGTCTTTGCTCTCTCTGGTTTCAGCTGAGTGACTGCTACCGAGGGGTGGTGTTTGACGGCCTTGACACACTCTTTGCTCGGAATGCCGCGGCCGCCCTCCTCTGCCTGCTGAAGGCCATTGGCAGCCGGGAGCATATATACGTTCTCAACATGGCCCAGGATTACACAGCCATGAAGGCCCAGGAGAAAGCCAAAAAGGAGCAAGAAGGCAAGGTCTCTTTCCTTCCCATTGGGCTCAGATGAAACTTTGACATTTGCTATTCCATTGGTGCCTCACCTCTGCCCTGTAACGTGGCCGGGAGTTTGTATTTCTACTTTGCTGGCAGGGAACTGGGATGCAAGTGGCCTGTTGGGAGGTTCTGTGGTGAAGGCTCTGCTGACAGCAGGTGCATTCCTGCTTCCCTCCCATCACACTGTACGCCCTCCATCCTTTCTGCAATTACAGCCATTACGGGTCGCATCCTGACTCAGGCAACTGATTTGCTTGTTGATTTTGTTTAAGCCCAACTATGCATTTCTTATAAAACTCAAGGTGTTGAGAAATTTTCCAAAACACCTACACCTTCGCCTGCTGCACACCAGGCACCATTGCAGACATTTTGTGTACTTTGGGGCATTTCATTCTCATAACCCTGTGAATCTTGCCCCCATTTTACAGAAAGGGAAAATAGAGCTCAGGGATAGCAAAAGTCTTATGCCAAATCACATTGCCAATTAGTAGGAGAACTGGGTCCATGTAATTCTAAAACCTTTGCTATTCCCCTCATTATACCAGTGGCCTGGGAAAAAATGTTAATAATTGAAAGGTATACATGCATGCACGTGCGCGCGCGCACACACACACACACACACACACACACACACACACACACACACAAGTAATGTTAGCTTAAGTTCCCAATATAGTCAGAAGCAGCCCCAGCAAATCTTGGCCACCCAGGGGGCAGGGTTGAAGGACAGAGGATGGTGACGCTGTCCATGGGAATCAGAGCCCCATCTCCCAGAAGCCTCAGCTCCAGCCACACAACTGCCCTTCCTCACTCTGGCTTACCTCTCCCTTCTAGCACAATCTATTCAAATCATAATACTTTTTCAAATAAGGAAATACTTCCAAGCATTAGGCTGTCCCAGTCCTTGAACAGAACTCAGAGTCAGCTTCCGGATAGTCTCATCCTGAGAAAGATCTGGAACAGTGACCAGGCATCCCTCAGCAGTCATCCAGCCTCTGGCTGCCTAGTTATCCAGAAAGTCATTTCTCCATAATGATCCACTTGAAAATAATTACCACATTTCCTTTTCCTTATCTTCAGAATGATATTTCTCCCAGTTAAATTGTGGGCTCCTCTCCCCTAAATCATCTACATTTCAAATGTCCTATGATGGCATGGCATCACGCATTCTTACATTAAAATCTCATGTTTATTGAACATCTATGAACACACCAGGCACTGGGGGAAGCACTTTACATGATCACATATTTAATCTCTACAACGGCCCTATGTTGGTATTCTTCTCTGTGATTATCCCTTGATAAATGGCAGGGAAATAAATCCAGGTGTCTGAGTCTGCAGCTCAAACTTGCAAGGATGATGGTGGTGTGAGGAAGGGAGGTGTGAGGAGGAAGCTGATGCCTTTGTCCTAAGTGTGAACCACCAGGCAGGGAAGGGGATTCCCCTTGGTTTGCAAATGGCCCTATCACCATGATCCTATTAGTGGCATATGCTCATAATGAGTCAAGTCAGTGGGTGATATATGTGTCTTCTATCATTGCTGTGACAAATTACCCCTGTCTTAGTCTGTTCAGACTGCCATAACAAAGTTCCATAGATTGGGTAGCATGTCAACAACAGACATTTATTTCTCACAGTTCTGGAGGCTGGCAAGTCTTAGATCAAGGTGCCAACAGAAACAGTGTCAGGCAGGGGTCACCTTCTGGTCACAGAGAGCATCTTTTCACTAAGTCCTGAAACAAGCTCCCTTGGGCCTCTTTTATAAGGACACTAATCCCAGTCATGAAGACTCTACCCTCATGACCTAATCACCTCCTAAAGGTCTGACTTCTTAATATCATCTTCTTGGGGAATTAAATTGCAGCATAGGAGTTTTGAGGGGACACAAACATTTACACCATCGCAACCACAAACTTGGTTACTTAACACAACACAGATTTATTGTCTTGCACTTCCGGGGTCAGAAGTCCTAACATCTTTCTCTGTCACTTATCAAGGGATAATCACAGATAAGAATGATAACTCCTCCCTCATAGGGCCATTGTGGAGATTAAATAAGCGATCATGTAAAGTGCTTTCCCCAGTGCCCGGTGTGTTCATACATGTTCAACAAACATGATATTTTAATGAAATAAGAGTATGACTGTACACTATCTTAGGACATTTCAAATGCAGGTGATTTAGGGGAGAAGAGTCCACAATTTAAACAGGAGGAATTTCGTTCCAAAGATAACAGGGAAAATGAAAAGTGGTCATTAGTTTCAAATGAATCATTATGAAGAAATGAACTTTCCGGAAAACTAGGCAGCTGGAGGCTGGATGACTGCTGAGGGATGCCTGGTCAGTGCTCTGGATTTTTCTTGGCAGGGCCACGTTCCTTTTTAGGCTGTTGGGTAGCCTCTTTCTCTTGTCTTTTCCGGCTTCTGGAGGCCTCCTGCATTCCTTGGCTCCTGGCCCCTTCCTTGCAGCTCTGTAACCCCTGCTCCCACTGTCACATGATCACCTTCTCTGACTGCTTCTCCTGCCTCCCTCGAAAGGATCTTTATAATTAGATTGGGCCCCCCAAGATAATCCGATATAATCTACCCACCTCCAGATCCCTAATTTAATCACATTTGCGAAATCCCTCTGCTATGGAAGACAGCACGGTCACCGGTTCTGAGGATTAGGATATGGCCATCTTTGGGGGCCACTGTTCAGCCACCTGCAGACAGAGCCCAAATATGGAAGTGTGTGGATGAGGGACCCCCCACCGCAGGGATGAGGCACACCAGGCACCACACCAGCTGCCCCACACTGAGACCCTCCTCCACCTGGTTAGGTTGCTAGTGAGTCTGGGAAGGGCTTTTCACCTTCCCATCTGTGCTCCCCTCACAGAACGCAAGCACAAGGAGGCTCTTGAGAAAGAGAAGGAGCGTCTCCAAAACATGGATGAGGACGAATATGATGCCCTGACCGAGGAGGAGAAAATGACATTGGATCGGGGGATTCAGCAGGTGCTCCGGGAGCGGAAGAAGAGGTCAGGGCCAAGGGCTGGCCACAGCAGAAGTTGTTCCCCGGGACCGTCCCCACAGAGTGACCAGGACTGGGGTGTGAGCCTGGGCTGTCTTCCAGGAGGGCAGCAGCAGCTGCAAAAGGCCCTGGAAGATGACCTGCAGGGAGCAGGAAGACTCCAGGGTGCTGGCAGCTGTACCATTCAGGGTTTCTCCCACTCCCCTTCCTTCTCACTGAAGGGCATTTGGGACCAGGCTGTAATGTCATGGGTGGCCCTGGAGGAGGGGCCTCTGGCCCCTGTGCTGCCCTGGTGCCCCTGCTGGCCCACCTGACCAGCGCCCCCAAGTGTGGCTTATCAGTCTCTGTGCTCACTGCCTCCGTGCTTCAGTATCCACAGCTGGTCATCCACGGTCCACTCTCTTGACCTGGGCATAGCGACTGCTCCCCAGATCTCAGCTCTTCCTCCTTCTGCCTGGGTCCCCTTCTTGGCCTTGGGTGGTGCCTCCCATCCCCTGAGGTCTAGCAGTCATAGAATCCTCAGCCTGAGCAGTCCCCAGGCGGGCTCACCCTCAGCCACTTTCTGTGCCCCTCACTGGGAACCACGCAGAAATGACTTGATCCCCCCATGCCTCCTAGTGCCCAGGATACTTAGGACTGCCACCTCAGGCAATCTCAGAGGTTTTGGGGGCAGTGGGACATGTGTCCTTTCTGCCCTCAGATCTTCAAAGATTGCAGGGATGGGATGGGGGGCAGTGGTTCTATTGCCCACCTCCTCCCTGGGATTACAGGCGCTGCAGGGAGAGAGCCTAGATACTCACCTGCAATTTGCCCTTCTCTCCTCTGCTGCAGCTCCACACTTCTCCCACTGACCCGAAAGAGCTTGTGCCCTCTGTGCCCCTACAGTATGCCCTAATCTTTTATTTTTGAGACAGAGTTTCGCTCTGTCACCCAGGCTGGAGTGCCTCCACCATGCCTCGAGTGTCGTGATCTCAGCTTACTGCAACCTCCACCTCCCAGGTTCAAGCAATTCTTCTGCCTCCGTCTCCCAAGTAGCTAGGATTACAGGCATGTACCACCATGCCCAGCTAATTCTTTTTTGTATTTTTAGTAAAGACAGGTTTTTGTCATGTTGGCCAGGGTGGTCTCGAACCCCTAGGCTAAAATGATCCATCTACCTCAGCCTCCCAGTGTGCTGAGATTACAGGCGTGAGCCACCGTGCCCAGCTGGGTGTGCGCTAATCTTTCTGTGGCATGGTCCACTGTAGAAATGCCCAGTTCTCCAGAGTTACCAAAAGCCCTGCTTTGAGATTTTAGAGGGAACTCTTTTTCACCAGGGCTGTTGCTTTCAGGCATTCATCTCATGGTAGACTTGGAAAATGCAAATTTGATTCTCAAAGAGCAGCAACAACTTGTTTGTGTCACACCATACGTGCACGCGCGCACACACACACACACACACACACACACATGATGAAGTAGATGAGTTGGCTGCAGTGGGCAGAGAGCCATGGCACCAGAAACAGGGATTCCTGGATGAAAATAACTGGGTGCACTATGTTCAGAAGTGCCATTCCCTTACTTGTTTGTACCTGGTACTTGGCTTTGGTGCACTCTGTGCTGTCAGCAGCAGGGGCAGGAGCGGCTGATTGACAGCAGAAAGGAAAAGAGAGGGTGGAGGAGAGGAACACGGCTTTCAGGCTGAGCACCCTGGCTCTAAGCTAGCCACCACAGAGACTGCTTTGAAAATACCACTTCAGGCTAGGCGCAGTGGCTCAGGCCTATAATCCCAGCACTTTGGGAGGCCGAGGTGGGGGGCAGATCAACCTGAGATTGGAAGTTCAAGACCAGCCTGGCCAACAGAGTGAAACACATCTCTACTAAAAATACAAAAATTAGCCAGGTGTGTTGCTTTGAGATTTTAGAGGAATCTCTTCTTTTTTTACCAGTGCTGTTGCTTTCAGGCATTCATCTCATGGGGGACCTGTCATCCCAGCTACTCAGGAGGCTTAGGCAGGAGAATCACTTGAACCCGGGAGGCGGAGGTTGCAGTGAGCTAATTGCACCACTGCATTCCAGCCTGGGTGACAGGGCAAGACTGTCTCAAAAAAAAATATATATATATCTACCATTTCTTACACTATTTGTTATTGTCTGAATAGCAAACATGTTCAGCTGTGGGAGGCTGGGCCTCATCTGCACTAATACCAGAACAGTCTTTGAAAGTTGCTTTTTTTAAGTGCTGAAAATCATGCTGATTTTCAGACTCAAAATACATATAAATGGAGAATTCCTCCCAGTTAAGTTTCAATGAATCAGTCTTGCTGAATGACCATTCAAACATAGATGGGAGTCATTTTTTTTTCTTGCCTTCTCTTCCTTTCTCCTTTCCTTCTATTTATCCAGCTTAGTTTGTTCTTTCTCTTTATGCCCAAGAAAGTTCTGCCCAATGTCCCTCCACCTGGAAATCCCAGGCAGTGGAGGGGTGGGTCATGGGGGCCCCTGAACTCTTTTTTCTCTGCCTTGTTTGATGAAGGGAGCAGGAGAGGCTGGCAAAGGAGATGCAAGAAAAGAAGCTACAGCAGGAGCTAGAGCGACAAAAGGAAGAGGATGGGCTGAAACGGAGGATCAAAAAAGGAAAGCAGGGAGTCGTGAAGGAGGAGCCATCCCTGAAGAAATCTCAAGCCGCAAACAAGCAGGTAACACCCCTCAGTCGCTCCTCGCCAGGAGGCAGATGTGGAGGGCAGCCTGGTGCCTTCCCCTTCCAGGAAATTAGCCTGATCATGTTCGGATTTTGCGGTGAGGCAGAAGGCAGGAGGAGAGGGACCAGCATTTGTTGAACACTCAACGGTGTGTGAAGTGCTGTGCCATTGAAGGCGGATTGTATGTGAAGTGCTGTGCCTGTACCAAACAACCCTGTCACCCTGTGAGGTTCAGAGAAATGAAGACAGTTCCAGGACCTCACCTACTTGGGTCTGTCCACAGTCCTTGCTGCTTACACCACCCCCTGCAGGGCCCAGGATGGGCTAATAGTAAAGATGTGTTCCCAGGAAACCACAAAGCCAGTGAGCCGGTGTGTCCAATCAGGAGCATACCCTTGGCAACCGTCAAGTAAGATACTTCGGCATGAGCTTATCCTCGCAGGCAAGGGCCAGCAGTTTATCCGCCTGCCAGGAGTAGCAGTCACCTCCCTGCCCCCTGTGGCACTAGAAGGGCAGAGAGGCTAAAGGAGCCCCCACAGTGGTGATCCTGGCTGACGGTCGTGACCAGTTGGTGTGGGCAGCCACGAGTCCTGAGGGTGAAACTATAACCAGCCTCCAGACAGGGTGCAGACTGGTCTAAGTAGGTGAGTGAAAGACAGTGACAGTGGCTGGGCAGACATGAGGGCAGAGAAATTGGTGTGCAGGGGTCTCGACCAGGGAGTGCTGAGGACGGAGCCGTATCTAAGCAAACAGATCTAGGCAGATTTGGGATGCCTGATACCGACCTGAAGGAAATCTATGACACCTCAGGCTGAGAACAAAAGGGGGTCCCTAAGAGAGAACTACCAGGACCAATCCCTACCTCTCCTAGGTGATTTTGTACATGAAGTCAGGAGGGAGAATTTGAGTACCTGTGTGTTTCATCCATTCTTTTTGCCGTTAAAGTCAATTTCTTATGTGGCATAAGTTCAGGATAATCGCTGCAGAAGTCACCTTCCAAAGCTTGCTTTTAAAAGACATTTCATTCATCATTAAAAGAGAGACTGTTTGCCGCACAGTTAACCTCACATTATACCCACTGACTCCGTCGTTGGTGTCTCCATCTGGAATCTGTTGGAACTTTTAAGTAGGAACATGTGGATTTTCCTATTTTACTCTCAGTTCAAGTTGCTACCGCCTGAGCACCTACCCCATCCCCCGACCCCGACCCACTACCGGGTTCAGGCCAGGTACTTTTGCACGTGCTTCGTTGACCTTGGATGGAGGTGGTAAGGACTTTATCACCGTTGTCCATTGGGAGACAGGCTTGTGTATCATTTGAGCTTAGCACAAAGCACAATCAATCATGTTCCCTGGGGGGACTTCTTGAGACTCTTGGACTAATGCAGTTGCCTGGTCTGAAAACACTCAAGGTCAAGAAAAACTGCTGAGACTAGATGCGCTCTCAGAAAGTGAAAGAAAATTCCAGGGGGAGTGCCAAGGTGAGAGGGAAGGACTAAAGACTTTCCTGCTTCCTCATCAAAAGGATTGCTCTATGTCTTACACAATCAGCACACCTGTTTTCCTCTCTGCTCTGGCTTCAATCTCTTCTCACAGGCTTTTAAGATGTGCTCGAGAATTGCCCACTTTTAGAATGAAAAAAAAAAAAAATTCTTCTTCAACCCTGGTGCCCTCCAGCAACCCCATTCCTCTCCTTTCTTTCATACTTGTCCCTGCTTGCTGGCTTTGCCTCATCACCCCTTCTTCCTGCCACCCCCTTTCGTATCCTGACTCCTGTCTCTACCACCACCTTGAATCCAAGGCTCCAGCCTGTCCATTTCTAGATGTAATGGGCATGGATCAGGCCTTGACTTGATTGACATTCTCCTCCATGAGCTTTACACTGTCAACCGGACCTCCCTTGGATCTCTCTTCTTTCTTCCTTTTTTTAAAATTATACTTAAATTCCAGGGTACATGTGCAGAACGTACAGGTTTGTTACGTAGGTATACATGTGCCATGGTGGTTTGCTGTATCTATCACCCCGTCATCTACATTAGGTATTTCTTCTAATGCTATCCCTCCCCTATCCCCCTACCTGCTCTTATTCCTCCCTTAGCCCCCCCACCCCGTGACAGGCCCCAGTGTGTGATGTTCCCCTCCCTGTGTTCATGTGTTCTCATTGTTCAATTCCCACTTATGAGTGAGAACATGCGGTGTTTGGTTTTCTGTTCTTGTGTGAGTTTGCTGAGAATGATGGTTTCCAGCTTTATCCATGTCCCTACAAAGGACATGAACTCATCCTTTTTTATGGCTGCATGGCATTCCATGGTGTATAGGTACCACATTTCCTTTATCTCTCTTCTTTCTTAGTGTCCTGGCCCGACCTTTCTGGCTTCCCCCTTCTCTCTGGCTTCTTTCTGGACCCACCTCCATCCATTCTTAGTCACTCTGCAGGTTTCCAGCCTCAGCATTTGTCTCTTCCTACTTAGTCTAAGGCTGACCCCCATCACATGCGTGACTTCACTGCTCCATGGACATTCATAATAGGTCGGAGGAAGAAGAGGGGAGTTAGGAAAAGCTTGCAAATTCCACTGCAAAGTGAAGGGCATTCCAACCAGAGGGACGGCCCCAAAGAGGGTACATAGAAAGGCAGGTGCCACATGAAAAAGAGCTAAACCAATGTTTTAACAACTAACATCTACTGTGTGCTGAATTCCTGCCTGTGACCAATCTCCAATCTCCACAACACCCGCAGAGGGAGACATGATCACCACCATCATTTTAGAGATGAGGAAGCTGAAATGCAGCACAGTTAAGGGATATAGCCAAGGTCCCATGGCCAGAAGGCGGTGGAGGCAGGCCCAATTTGTCCAACTCCAAAGCAGGCACTCCCTTCCCTGGGTCTTGCACCGCCTCCCAAGCCCTTAGTCCATCCATGGCTCCTGACACTAATTCAGGTTGTCCCTCTGACACTGGTAACTCAACACAGCCCACACTAAGCTCGTCATCTATGCTGCCTTTTTCCCAGACCTCTTCCTGGCTGTATATTCCTCCCCAACCCTTCTTTCAGCTCCCAGGCCCAAATCCCAGAGTCGCCCTGACTGCCGCCTCTTCACCTTCACCCGTGACCAAGCAGGAGCTCTGGTGAGGGAGTTCCCCTCCTAAATCGTTCTCAAGCCTGTCCCAGACTAGGGCTCTCCTTTCTTCCCCTGTCCCCAGCTGTCTCGCCTTTGCTGTGGTACTGTGTAGATGGGAGGTAATTCTATCATCACACCCCCTGGTCTTCTAGTTCTGGAAACAGGATGGGGACGAGGGCACAGTTTGCAGAAATATAAAGTGTGTTTTTCTGTTTTTCTTGCTTATTGACAAATTAGTTAATGTCCATGGAAAGAAATCATAATTGCCCAGGCTGGTCTTGAACTCCTGGCCTCAAGTGATCTGCCCACCTCAGCCTCCCAAAGTGCTGGGATTATAGGTGTGAGTCACTGCGCCTGGCCAATCATTTTTATTTCTTTTGTGGATTGTTTCTGCCTTTCTTTTTTTTTTTTTGAAACAAGTCTCGCTCTGTCAATGAGGCTAGAGTGCACGATCTCTGCTCACTGCAACCTCCGCCTCCCGGGTTGAAGCAATTCTCCTGTCTCAGCCTCCCAAGTAGCTGGGATTAGGCACCTGACGCCACACCTGGCTAATTTTTGTGTTTTTAGTAGAGATGGGGTTTCACCATGTTGGCCAGGCTGGTCTTGAACTCCTGACCTCAAGTGATCCACCCATCTCGGCCTCTGAAAGTGCTGGGATTATAGGTGTGAGCCACCGCACCCAGCCTCTTTTTACCTTTCTAATCAGAAGATTTCCTTCCATCTAGTAGCCTACTGTTCTTTAACTGTTTATCCTATAAAATGAAATCTACTGGTGATTCTGATTTTCTCTATATCGGTTTTTCAAATCTTAATATGTACACAAATCACCCAGGGATCCTGTTAATATGCAGAGAGGTTTCGATTTAGTAGGTCTTGGCTGGGGCTTGAGACTCTATTTATAACAAGCTCCCAGGTCACATTCATGCTGCTGGCTCTTGGGTCACACTCTGAGTAGAAAGGCTCTAAGCAGTTGCTTAGCAGCCAACATTAATGTTAGCCAAAGCACAGTCTCCAGTGGCTATATCGTCAGGAATCTTTAAACTGCAAGCAACAGAAGACTCGATTCAGGCTATCTGAGGTGGTGTGCACCTGTAGTCCCAGCTACTCAGGAGGCTGAGGCAGGAGAATTGCATCAGCTCAGGAGTTTGAATCCAGCCTGGAAAACAACACAGCAAGGCCCTGTCTTAAAAAAAAAAAAAAAAAAAAAAAAGGCAGCAGCAGAAGAAAGACACAGAAAACCCTATTCAAAACACTTTTAAAATATAACATTTATTTGCTCACATATATGAAAATTCATGGCTTGTTCCATCCTGAATTCTTATTTCAGATACTGTATTCTTCAGTTCTAAAATTTCCTCTTGGTTCTTTTTAAAATTTTCAATTTATCTGCTTAGAATTCCTTCTGCCTTACTGATCATAGTTAGAATAACCGCATACAGTTCTTGTCTGACAGTTCCCCCAGCTGAGTCACCTCAGGGTTGGCATAGGTTGGCTGAAACTTTGATAATTTGTGGCAGTTTCCTGACTCTTCATATGTCAAGGAATTTTGTATCAAATCCTGGAATTTTTTAACGTTATGTTGTAGACTCTGTATCGTATTACAGTTCTCCAAAGAATGTTGGTATTTTAGGTTTAACAGACACTTAAGCTTGGTTGGATCAAGTTTTGGTCTTTCACATCTGCAGTGGTCAGTGACTAAGATGTCAGTTCCATTCTTTAAACCTTATTTACAAATTGCTTTTAGTTTGCCCCACACACGCATAGTTCAAGAGTCAGCCAGCCAGAGTTCCTCTTCTCTGACACTCTCTTCTTCCTGGGGTCTCCCCTTCACTCTCTGGAGGCTCTGAATGCCCCAGAACTTCTTTCTCCGGCTCCTCT